CGAAGTGTTCGTATCTACCAGTAAATCCACACGGCGCTGCAACCCAGAAGATGAACATCGACAATCTCTCCACCGTGAAAACCTCACGTATCTTATTCACGTTTTGGCCGGAAAACCCGAAGGAAAAGGACATCTTGGGAAATAAAGCGAATCTTAAAATAAATGTGTTGAAACGTTATGGACTGTATTCATCTAGCTCAGGAGAGAGGTCTGTTTCGCCTTCGGATTCCATAAAAATCGGGGGAATTCATTGACATATGTGTGACTTTCAGGTCCTCAAGAAGGACGATGTTCCGTGTATTAGTTATGTAATTTGCGCGAAGAACATTGCCATATCACGTACGAGTGTGGTATGACTGTCCGGACCCGAGCTAATCGTCACTGGTTGGAACTGTTTCTGGCAGTGGGCACAAATACAAACACAGGGACACACGCAGACATGCCTGTGGTCGTAATGACTGCTTCAAGGATTCAACCATGAATGGTTTGTGTGGTCAGGAACATGGGAGTAGCCTGGCCGTCACGTCGGGATGTGGTTCCCCTCTCATGTCTAAAAACAAACTTCGTTCTGTATTAAATTGTTTCATGTGCCTTCAGAACGACAACTTTATAAAAAAGTAGGTTTAAGAAACCACAGCTTTTTTCATTTGTGATACAATTTAGTGGTTTGGGGCTGCAATTTGAAATTCCATACGAACTTCACTTTTTTTTTTAGTTATTTTTACGAAGTGCATAAAATGTAATTATAATTGGGTGGAACTATGCATATCTATATGTTCGCACGTATATTTTATAATCTGAATTACAGAACGGATTTAGATTAAATTCGGTGTTTGCTGTCTACACCAAAACTTGCGGAAGAATTAAATTTGGTCCAGTATAAACGCAAATCAAAATTCCTTCCCTAAAACTGCGTATGAAAAAAATGTAAATATTATACAGGTCTGTGAAATTAAATGACTGTCAAACCTCTTGTAGCAAAGTTCTTGTGTTCTTTATCAGAAGGTGGTAGTTGCTCAGATAATCAAAAATATTTACCTTTTTTAGAACCAGATTTTTCATTATCGTATCCAGAAGAACCCGAAGAACCTGAATCCGTCAATAACCCAAAAAATTTCCTGGGGAGACTGAGAAGAAGCCACAATGAAATTAATTTGAAACATCCTGTATCGTGTATTCAACTAACACTGAATGTTACAAACATGAAACAGCAATGCTGGCCAGCGCACCGAGACGATCAGAAATTTTTTATTCGTCGTTACAGATTGAACTTGTTCTAGGGAAAAATCGCTAAAAAGTGTCGGTCACCCTGCACAGTGTTCATGTGAGATCATTCACCACTCGCCTGCAGTGGCCAGCTCATAATGAAGGCAATGACGACATTGCTACGCTCGAGCGCCGCTGAGCGGCCGACTGTTGAAGCAGAAGTCCTGCTGTACTGCCCAATCTCAGTTGGATTTGGAGGCTCGACTGAAAAATATTTTAGAATTTTAGTCCGTACCGCAAAGAAAACACCGCACTTCACCATTACAAATGTCAACTGGTTAACGCTGTTTAACGAAATAATCGCTGTTTACAGGGAGAATCATACGAAACACATAAATATCCCCCGATACTCATTGCATGTGACAGTTCGGGGTCTACCCCTGAACCGGTCTGGACAATGATAAATATTCTCACATTTTCTAAAAGAAATCTCGGTCTGTGTTCTTCTGTTAGTATGAGGTGCCACGTCTCACACCCATACAAAACAGCAGGTAAAATTTATTTTATTGAGTCTATATTTTAATCTTCGCATTTTTAGATAGCAGACGGAAGGACAATGGATTCTGAACTGCATGATAGCAAGAATTTCCCGAATTTAATCTGCTCTTAATTTATCGTGAACGAAAATTAAGAGCAGATCAAGACATGTGGGAAATCTTTGTTCTCCCTGACTTAACAATCAATAATTCTGCGTTTTATACATCAGCTGTATTTCTCGGTTTCTTATGGTTCTTAGTATAAACAGTGATTATTTCCTTAAACAGCGTTAACCAGATGATCTTCGTAATGGTGAAGAGTTGTGTTTTCTTCGCGGTACGGACTGAATCATTATATATAATTCAGACGAGCTTCGGCTTCAAAGAGTTTGATGTTATTTTAGAATCCGTCATCTGTTTCGTTTCCCCCCCGGGAAATGTCGTAATTAATCCGCATTCGTGAGCATAGGCAGTTCAGGATGGCTTATAGCCATTGGTCTTATTGCGTTCACACTTATCGCTCCAGTAGATTGGCTCAATCGTCGACAAAAAGTTGGGTGTGTTTTTGTAATTAGCATCCTTCCGGCCACTTCAGACTGTCGCCGTCACTTCTCTGGCCCTGCTGTCATTATAATCTTCAGCAGCGTAGCCCAATTTTCTGTATCGCATTTTTAGGCGTGCTTCAAAAACAACAATTCCGAAAACCATTTCATGGTTTCGTCATACCCATATGCAAGTAACCATGTCTAAATACCTGAACGATTTCCACCAAACTTGGTATAGTGTTACTATATCCATATTAATAATCACTGGCTACGAGCTGGACGATCAAGGTTCGATCTTCGACAGGGGTAGGGAATCTTCTTCGCTTTTACACCGGCTCTGGACCCCCATTCGATGCTGACCACTCACCATCTAGTGCCGATGTTAAGAATGACTAGAAGTTATATCGCCTCTCCCCCTGAGTGTCTAAATAGGGCGTAGCGGGACGGCTTTATTTGTTTGCATTTTTTTCTGTTTAGCTCTTTTGATATTGTCTACTACGTCTAATTTGTGTTATAAAATAATCGTGTTCTCATTTTTGCCCTAAACAGCGTTAACCAGTTGATGTTCGTAATGGTGAAGTGAGGTGTTTTCTTCGCGGTAAGGACTGAATTCTTAAATATAATTTAGACGAGCCTCTGTTTATGGGGGTTAAATAAACTGATAATTAATAGTGCAATTTATTTCTTTTTTATGTCAAATTATCTGTAATATAAATATATCTAATAAATCGTTTCAAATTGTGGCAAATTTCAAATATTTGGGAACGATAGGAAGAAATCAAAATTCGATTCTTCGCTGCCATGCAGGACTCTTCTCTCGCATGGAAATGTAATCCATCTTAATTATCTTCATCATCGAACGTCTAGTTATGTCTTTTGGAAGCATTTTTCTGAAAATCAGTAGATATCAGGTCGCAAGGAGAGCTTCGTGTAGATAGTTCTTTTGCATTATTCGGCCATAATTATCTTCCATGAAGCTGTATGACTTTACAAAGATAATGCCATTTGACTTATCTGGCTTCATCATATCAATAAAACCACGCACTGAAAGATAAGATGCACTAAGCAGTAAATTTTTGAATAAAATACGTGAGATTTTATGTAATTGGAAAGATAGAATTCCATTCATTTCTATGTTGCTTACGTATTTGTCTAAGTTTTGGAGTAGCAGATTCTGATTTGTGGCGTTTTGTGTTAAGACTACTGAAGTGCCAGTGAAAAATGATGGGGAAAATCAAAAGTAAAAGAGAAAAGCCTCTGAAACGTCGGTGAACTTCCACCAGACTACACGGCGCTACAATCCAGAAGACAGCGATCTTAACTCTGACTTGATTTAGACGTTACGACACAACGGGAATTTTCTAGAGCCGCTCTAGAACTGTTTGGTAATCCCATGGAGTTACTCAGACATTTAATTAATTACTTGGTTTGTTTCTGTGAGTAGTATCGATGGTCGATTGTTAAACAAATAATAATTAACACACAAATCCACAGAACCGTCACCAAACGAATAATTTTCGACTTTTATTGAATCCAGTGATACGCCATACACCATATTCCTATTTCTGTAAGATCTACTTTAATATTATCCTCCCTTCTACGCATAAGAATTTTAAGAAGGTTCACGCTTTGTCGTCATTACCCAATAGAAGTGTGTAATAGGCTGCGTGGACACCAGAGAGAAACGGTAAATTCTTTTCTCTGCCTGGAATCGAATCCCGTTACGCCAGTCAGAAATTTTATCGAGTTATGTCGAGAACTGTCACTAAACGAGATTATATTTCCATGAAGATTGATTTACAAAACATAACAAAACATCTCTCGTGTTGTCAGGGAGACAAACCTGTCATCTGAAGCGATCTACAGGTTAACGGTTTCCGAGGGCAAAGGAACTGATTTCTTCTCTGCGCTGCTATTATTTGGTAATGAATGCTGGGAAATTCTTTTGTGTTATAATTTGTTTGTCGTTTGAGTAGCTCTAACTTCCTGTTCTTTATTCCGGTAACTATTTGTAATCCTAAGAAAGAATTTGCTGGAGTCCTCAAGAATATTCATCCATCACAGGCTGCAGAGGGCTCCTCGTCCTATACCGTTACACTCTCAGGTCCAATTTTTCTTCAGAACTTCAGGGCATGTCAGTACGAACCGTAATCATGATACATCTATTTTAGTTACAGTGAGGGTGTTATCAAACTACGGTAAATTTATATATATATATATATCAAGCGATAAACTAGAGTCTGAAGCAAGATTTTTGTGTAGTCTAGTAGTTCAACGACTTTTCACACGTACTTTCTGCCACCATCATCAGGACAAGGACTCATCTACTTGAATATAGAATCGGTTCGTGCATTTATCGTTGTAGACATTTCATTTGTCACTGAAGTCATTGTAATTCTGTGCAGAGTGGACAGAAAAACCACAGAGGTCTTACCATTTGAAGTTTTTAATACTGAACCTTATAATCAACCAATGCGGAGAAAATTATCTGTCAGGTTGTCTATCCATGTATCCGTCCATCCGTCTAATGACGATACAAGACTGTGTGTAATCTGTGTTTGAAAATAAATCTTTCTTTATGTTAGGCAAATTACCTGCCCTGCACTGTGTTTCGACAATAAGAGTTGCTTTCCCACGTACTCGAGAACATCACCAAGCATCCGTCTGCCAGAGGTGACGTCAGTAGCGACTTCTAGGTGAAGGTAGAGGAACCACACAACAATAGTGAAAGGTGGATCCTCAAGGGGTAAACTGGGAGGTCCGACGCTCCAAGAAGCAGTTCTGGGCTGTAAGCCTTGAGGTGAAGCCGAAGGAACGAGTTCGCATTTCCTCGGGCACAGATAAACATTCAAGACTGCAAATACTCACTGGACACAGCATTAAGCTGAGGTCTGTCGTATTGGCTTTAAGTTAGCCAACAGTTCTTCAAGTAGAGACTCAAATCTGTGATATAATGTACACGAGTTTGTTTTTAAAATATTAATTTCCATTGTTGACATTTCTAAAAACTTTGTTTTGTTTCGCAATCTGACGTCAATTGTTACCTCCGAAGAAAGATGTTACTTCTGTAAGTTAACAGCTGGAGTTCTGTTATTTCAGATCAGCTTTACAGAAATATATGTCATCAAATCATCAAATGGAAATGAGGAAAGTAGTTTGAATATATTTCGTGTGCTTCTCGTGTGGTAAAGGAATCTCGAATCTGTTTACAGGCGAACAGTTGACATACGAAAGCGAATTTTAATCGAGGCAGTCCGATTTGACGACAGCGTTGCGTATGGACTTATAATTTGTTTTTGATGTGCGTTTCCCTTGAAATGGCTGGTTGTTCAGATGTTACCTCTGCGACTGCGACCATGGTGACAAAGCCCGTGGGCAAAGGAGCTGGAGAAAGTCGCAAGGTAAGAACTTGTTGCCCCTTTTGATTGTGTCAATGTTTACTGTTGTCTACGTCTGCAACACTGACTTCTCGCGGGTCAGTCAACGTGGACAACTAATAGCCCTTGGTACACGCGACCTTTTGTGTTGATAGCCAAGTTAGATCAGATACATTTGCGTATGAACATCGAATGAAATTTTGTGTCGATTGAAAATCTAATTTTGTTATTTAGGCCTATCCTGTAAATATTGTTAGTAGTACTTTATTTTTAAACACGCTGTATCTGTGCCCCCCCCCTTCAGACACTGAAATGAGTAAGATCATAATTCTGCATTTTTTCCCAGAAATTTTACTTATTAAGTGGTTATATTACGTACATTTTGTTGCTACTTACATGAACACATTATACTGGATCATGTAATTACTACACGGGCACGTATTGTAAAAACACCCATTCACGTTAAAATATGAGTTGTCACGCCGTGCAGTCTTTTGACTGCGAACGTTTCGGTTGAACATTTTGCCTCCATCTTCATGGCTGTGTGTTCCTCCGAAACGCTATTATACATCGAGATATTGCGCAATAATACTGAGCATAAAGATTTGTGTGTAATGTTATTTTTCATGAAGGAATACTGGCGTAGTACGACAATGAAACAAATGGAACTTCAGCCAAGATCACACAATAAGCATTTTTGACATTTGAGCGACCCATGGACCCGTCCTTGTCTGCTTGTCGCGTTTCTAGCAACAATGGGACCTGAGGTCCCATTGTTTAATGCGTTGGCCCACAAAAATTACCTGGGATTACATTGTACGATAATTACCTAAAAGCAACAATTGGCTTCAGATCACATTAGTGCAACAACGACATACGTTACGTGAATGAATCTGACCGTTTTTAATGTCCATAAATTCGCTTTAATACGAACTTTGTTATGTTTAAAATTCCTTACAGCTTCTGTGTGCCAACAATTGCTCGAATTTGAACGTAATTTATTTCCTGATGACAGATTCGCAAGCCGCTGATGGAGAAGAGAAGGAGGGCGAGGATTAACCAGAGTCTAAATGAACTTAAGAAACTTTTGCTGGATGGAAACAGCAGTAAGAAGGAGGTACGCTGCCAACCTAACAACAAAAGCTTTCGCGTCTGCCATTCCAACCAACCTCTTCAACGTCTTACTAAAAATAATAGTTTCTTTCTTTCCGTAATGTTGTACGTTTATACGTGATTACTGTTAAAATCAATTGTTAAAAACGCGTTTGCATCGAGACCAACCAAGTGTCAGATCAAATATGAATCCTCTGATTAGGCATTAATTAAATAAAATAAAGTCATCTCTGCTCTTAATTAAGCACTACGATATGAAGGTGTATGGGGGAGTGTCTACAAACATCTGCTTTATGTATGGTTTCCTGAATTCTGTAACTATGCCGATGTTACTTACTCTTAATTGTTAGCAGATCCTGCCTTTGACGCCATCTGTTGGCACTATCTTAAAATAATCTGACAACCCTGGCTTCTGGCAAACAAAAAAACATCGTTCACTTGAAGTAAAATCGATTAAGGAGTAACCAACAGTGAAAAATTCTAACCAGATTTTAATATGACAAATGAGGTGTCACAACTTTCTTTGTTGTTACACAGGGTTCAAGGCCAGCCAAATTGGAGAAGGCTGACATCTTGGAAATGACGGTCCAGCATCTGCAAAATCTCCACGAACAACAGAGACAACAGCATCAGGAATGTCTGAAACAACAAGAGGTTACAGTGGAAAATGAAGGAAAAGTGTCACCAAAACAACACGAGAAGAAACAGACCAAAACATGTACGGAATCATCGTGTATGTCTACAAATAAAAATAGGGTGAAATCTGAAGTTGAACATCAAGAGACGCGCGACGCGTTTCAGCTACAAAAGCTTTCTTCGACAATTCCTGATACAGTGTGCAGGAACCGGAAACAGTCCGGACAGACAACAACGCAGCGAAGCGCGCCATCTACTTGTCAGCAGGAGAAACACTGTGAAAAAAGTTCCTCAAGCCCAAAATTCCGTGCGGGATTCAACGAATGCGCCAGAGAAGCACGGAAGATACTCGAAACTTTCAGCGATTTGGACCGAGCTGTTCGTGAAAGGTTATCAAACCATCTGGCCTCGTGTCTCGACTCTTTAGAAAACATGAATGACGTCACAAGCAGTTGCAGTAACCATCAGGCTGCGGACAGTACACAGAGCATTGTTGCAGAAGACAACAGAGTTGTTCCTTCGGCTTCTCCGTCCGTCCTGATTCAGATGCCGAAGGGACTGACTTTGTTGCCGACAAAATTACCGAACGGAGATCTTGCCTTTGTTATTCCAGCTGAAATTAAGAAGAGTGTGACGTCTTGTTTTGACATTGAGATTGCGCAGAAGTCTCGTCTGGACTCAAAAATTCATTGTGTTGATGAAAGCAAGCATCAGGAAGAGGGTGTGGTCTGGAGACCATGGTGACTTTAAGAAAAGCTTCTCAAGGAGGAATGATCCTGTGATAATCACCAAAATTTTACCTGTTAATGTTACGAAAATTTATATCTGTTTGTGATTCTAAAAACGTGACTGTACAATATTAATATAGAGATTCAATTTAAATAAATAAAGAAAAGAAATAGAAAATGTGGATAGGTGATGAAGGTGGCTCGTCTTCTGGGCTGTTGCACCGTGTAACCTGGTAGAAGTTTACCGACGTTTCAGAGGTCCTTGCTGCCTCCACCATCGCCCCGATGTTGGGGGCAGCAAGGACCTCTGGAATGCTGATAAACTTCTACCAGGTTACACAGCGCAACAACCCAGAAGACGAGCCATCTTCAGACTCACCGCCATGAAAACCTCAAATCCTACATATACAGGTGATACTTTAAGTAGAAGTAGCTTTATTGTCTTTAAAGTACATCCATGTATAAAGAATAAACATGTTTTACATGTGTTTTAATCTGTAACATGAAAAATATTCCAAACTTTCTTGGTTTTGGGCCATTTGCATATTCTTCAGGCCACGGTTTGTTGTCTGCATTATTATAAGGTTTTTTTTTGCGCAAAATGACATAGCTGTCAGTGTGTGAATATCCATCTGAAAATTTCACATCCTAAACTTCTGTACACAGATTTAAATTAAATTCTGTTTAGGAGGGTGTAAACCAAAATACATTGAAAAAATTAAGTTTAATTACGTAGCAGCCCAGATAACATTAATTGCTTGTAAAACTGAAATAAGATTTTTATAATTTTCTTTAAGAATGGATCGTTGAACAAAAGACACAAGTATCATTAAATTCTACAATTCTTATGATGTATATTTAACAAAACATGAAAGAATTGTGTGTCCCTCAGTAATAAGGATCTTTGTACGTCAGCAGACGTGGCACCTATTTCTGTCATGACAGTGCAGTGCAAGGTGCAGAAGATGAAAAGGAAATTATAATATGAAATTTAGAAAGCAATTTCTAACTAAACATTTACAAATTTCTAAGTTACTGATTTGTTGGGTGTTGAACACTGAATGAAATACAAAGGAAAACAATACAAATTTCTGTTCTAAAATTAGTCTTCTTATAATACATTTATTTAATACTACATTACAAATCTTGATGCTCATTTCTTTCACAAGCTGAGGATCACAGGTGAATTCAAATTCATATAAAACATTTGGAAAATATGTGTTCAAGAACATGTATTTCCGCTGTTTTCCAAACACCATTTACATTTAATTTTGGATACTTTGTTTTTTACATACCTGCATATTAAATATATGAGGCATAGTGAGAAGTTTTTTTCCATGTCAATAAGTAACCCCATGGAGCAGAGTCTTTGAGAATCTTATAGTTTCCCAGTCAAGAAATTACCCACCTTTTATGGAACATAAATATTTATTTCTGTGTTCACAAGAGATTCCCTCGGGTCCCAATCCTAAACAAAATTAATCCAGCAGAATTTGAGATTCTCACAGTGGTAAGTATGTAGATGTTGTCTTTTGGGTTGTAGCACTGTGTAGAGGGTAGAATTTTACCAACATATAAGAGGTCCTTGATGCCTCCATCATCAGGGCATGCACCATTTTAAGATGAATCCAGTCCACACCACCCCATGTTATTTCCCTAACCAAAATGTTATATTTTTGTGCATGCTGCATTCCCTGCCCATGTTGTCCTTCATTTGATCTTCTTAATTATACTTGGAGAAGAGAACGCCTTGCATTTAGGCAACCCAGCTGACTTCTGTAGTTTGGCTTTCTAAAACACCAGTTGCTTGCGAAATGAGTAGAGCATACATTCATACCTATGTCTAAAAAAATATGTAATTTTGTGTTTAATACTACGTTGTGATTTATTATGCATAACATTTCTCTCTTGAACAGATTGTGGATATGACCATGGCCTCTAAGCGATCGAAGGTCCCGCCTCTTAGTTGTGATCATGGATTCCTTTAAGCGTGTTTGCCTACCTCTACAGATTCCGTGGGCAGATACTGTAATCCCGAGTGGAGAGGTGATACGCATATTATAGTGATTTGTTTGATTACGTGGTGTTGATACGTAAGGAACGAAAGAAATGAAAGTTTTCAGGCCTCTGAAAAACAATTGTATTACTTAGAAGTAAAAGCAATCTGTAGTGACTTTCTTTATTTCGTAACAACACAACACTGAGATTTTAAATTAAAGACATGATAGAGTTAAAGTATTGATAAATACGCAGCTTTTAGTTTTTAAAAACCTGAAGACAACTTAAGATTCGATTTCGAAATTGCTGCTAATGAAACGAAAGTTGCGCCACATTTGTGTGAAACGACCATAACCTCAATGTCCAAGCTAAGGTTTGAAACTGCCAAGAGGTCGAGAGTTTCGCTAAAATATATTGAGTTCATTGCGGTAACAACCCTTTTATTTATAGATTAGAGCATGGTAGTTCATCTGAATATTGTGGCGTTTTGCAATATCTTCAATGAAAATATGGTGGTAATAAGTGAATGTGAGATTTCAGGTTCTCACTGCAGTGATTATGAAGGTGACTGTTTTCTCGGATGTTTCGCCCTGTAGTCTGGTATAAGTTTACCGACGTTCCAGAGGTGCTTGCTGCCTCACTCATGCCCTGAACATCAGGGCAGAAGATGTAGGCAGTATGTTCATTTGAAACCATGATATCCATCTTAAAGTCCACATGGCGTCACTGCTCAGAAGACTAACACTGTTGTGAGAACCTCAGATCTTACAGAGTGATACATAACATGTGCTTTGAGAAAACTTTTGTGCTTGGTGGTGAGACATGCAGTTCCAATATGTATCTGGGAAGTGACTTATGTGAAATTTTTATCAGTGAATGCACTATACATCTTTGTGATTTAATTTTTCTTTGGCAAAGAGTTCCAGTCCAATGCTGCCAGTATTGTTAAACATTCATTTTTATCCTTTTTAATCCATGGTTTGTTTTGATATAACTTTAACACCTTCTTTGCATGAGAACAGTTCCAACTTGTCTGTGTATTATCTCCTCACCATTTTATTTCCTTCAGTACTTAGTTAATGATGTGCTGTTCCTTCTGATCTAAACTAACCTAATCAAACCAAACTATGCCAAGAAGGAGCCTGGTGGGGATTAGAACAATCTGAAATGTGGTGGTTGGTGACCTATCCCATATTCTGTATTTTAAACTCAAATTAATCTTAACTGTGAATATCTCAATTGAATATCAGTCTTGGTGTGTTATTTTAACCTATATTGACCATGTGTCAGATTATTTATCATCATCATTACCACCATCATCATCATCAACACTTTTTTAATATGAAGTGTTGGTTTGTTTCAGATATAATGGCTGTGAATATTAAGACTGTCGTGTATGTGCTGTGATTGGTAGTGTAAGTGAATAAAAAATGCTGGAAAGAATTGTTGCGTGGGTTCTAAACAACTATTTGGGAAAGTACGTTGAAAACTTGAACACTGCTCAGCTGAGTGTAGCGCTTTTGCAAGGTATGTAAAAAATTTTATTCATGTAAATCAGAAGTTCCAAAACTATTTTTACCCTTCTGTCTTCAAACTTCTAAGAACACTGGTGTTCAAAATCCTGTATATTCTATAGTGGTCCAACTTTTATCAGAATTTTAATCATAGATCGTAAATAATTTGCAGTATCCTGTTGTACTTTTACTCCATATATTTTTTACGATCGTTTCAGATCCAACAAAGACATAGAGAAATAATGAAAGTCTTAAATCAAATCTGAACTTCTTTTGTGTTTCTAGTTTATGGTATCTGAGCCCATTGTAATATCTAGATTTGACTAATTTAGTAACTAATTTCCCATCTTTATGAAGGTGAAGTGGAATTGGAGAATCTCCCTTTGAAGAAGGATGCTCTCCGTCATATAGGATTGCCTATTCAGATATGTGCAGGATACATAGGGAAAGTTAAACTCCAGATTCCCGTCCCTCAGATTCGCAGTGCACCATGGGTAATAAATATCGAGCAGCTCTGTGTTATCACTGGACCAGTGAAGCTTACCGAGGTGGGTGAAATATAAACTTTCCATAATGCTCTGCCTCAGTATTAATTTTTCATTTGTTATGACTGAAGATAAGAACCAGCTGTTGTCAAGATTAACCAGCTAATATAAACTGTCAGTTAGAAATTTAAGCTATTATTGTATCTAACCTAACCTAACCTGATGATGCACCTCTAAAATGTCAGTCAGCTTCCTGAAGAATATGCTACTTTGTATCCAAGAAGGCTGTCATCTTCATATTTCCTCCATCTTCAAGGTTGAAGCCCTTGTGTCATTTCATTTTGTTTATAATGTTGCCTCCCTGTAGAGATTTGAGGTTCTCATGGCACTGACATTGTATAGTCCTTACATGTTCTCAACCCAAAGACTACGATGGACATTTTACTGCCATGGGAATCTCAAATCTGTGAGTTCTTATAGTTCTTATAGTCTGTATTACCTGAAACGTGGAGTGGGTTTGAACGTGACAGCTTATTCTTTTTAGTGGGACGAGGAATTAGAAGAGCAGGTTGCTCAGGAGTACAAGTTGAGTTTGCTGGATGCAATGGAAGCAGGTTGGCGGGCAGAGATGGAGAGTGCCCAGACATCAAGTTATTACGCGACAAGCTACTCATCGTGGCTCAGTTTTGGAACCAGTCTTGTCACCAATATCATAGAAAATCTTCAGGTTGGTACTCAGAGAAATGTGTCACTTAAGTTACTTCTTTGATCGTTATACTGTGAAGAGAGATGTGTTGGTCAAGAATAAGAAGAAGAAGAAGAAGACGAAGAAGAAGAAGAATAGAAAAATATAGCCCTGAAGGAGAAATTAAACAAGTATTTCAATTTTGCATTATGTATACAATAATTTTCTAGTAAAAACAGTTTAACCACTTTATAAGGTGTTTTTCACTTCGTTCTTTATTATATTTCAGCTGAAGATCAAGGACGTTCACATTCGTTATGAAGACGCCACAACAGTTCCTGACCAGGTGTTTGCTTTAGGTATAACTATCAAATCACTTACAGCACAAAGCTGTGATGACAAGTGGATGCCTCGGTTTGTGGGTTGGGATAGCGGCGACACGTCCTTCAAGCTAATGGAACTCAGTACATTTGCTATTTACTGGGATAAATTAACTGACGATCAGCTACTGGGTGGCCTCTCGCTCGGTGAATTAGCTGTGAGTATATATTTATGCTAAGTCAGTATAATGATGGGCTCCGGAATGTTTGATTTTAGATAGGGATGTAGGGGTGGCTGTGGAGCCCATGCAGTCTTGTACTTAATGGCCATTTCTCGTGGATATTTCAGTCTCCTCGTATGAGCTAAACAGGATGTTTGTTTATGGTTTCTGTTCAGGTTGCAATGTCTCAGTGCATGGCATTGAGACACCAGTTTGTGCTCTCTCCAGTGAGTGCCCAAGCGCACATTAAACGCAACAGGAGCGAACAACCTCTTCGATCGAGAACACAGCCCAGAGTGGTTTGTGATTTACATCTTGAAGAAGTACCACTATCTCTGACTGATGTAAGTTTATGAAGACTTTCTAATCAAGTTAAGTTTTAGCTTTAATTTAATATAGTAAGAACTTGGGTCTCAGAGCAAAATTTGGCCAGAAAACCTTTAGAAAAGGCAAAACTCAGTGCAGGTGCAGATGGGGAGGATAGGTGTTAAGATTGACTTAAATAGGGAGCGGCAGGAAACTTCTTGACTTAGTGAGCGACTTAAATATTTCATAAAAGGCAAGGAATTCATTGTTCTCGAAATACACTGTCCTCCGCGGAATTTAATGAGTCAGATAAATACAACTCAGTGAAATAAAATACAGAGAGGTAACTGTTAACTTTGTGTGTTTTTATAGTAAACGTCACGTGGCAGGCGATCTTGGCGTAAGTTTTTTGTATGCCTGTCATGATTTTTTAACTTCTTTCCGCCCAGTGGCAGTATGGTCAAATGGTGGGGTGTGTGAAGGGCCTGCAAGTTATTGAAAAATGCTGTCGTTATCGCAAATGGCGACCAGATGTCTCGGTACGTGACGATGCACGTGCTTGGTGGCTTTACGCTGCGAGATGTCTCACGGGTGGGTGGCATCATTCATCTCCAGGAGGCTGGGAGATTGCACTTCAGAGAGCCAGAGATAATGTGGCGTATGTTGAAACGTACTCTCATATCTTGAGTTGTCCAACAGCAGTTGTACCACCAGATAAGAAACAGTTAAAAGATGCCATGGAAACAGAAAGAGGTCTAGAAGATCTGCGCTTACTTAGGGAGGTAGGTGATTAATTACGCATTTATTAATTAGAATTTATGTTAAAAACATTGACTTAAAAGAAATCATTTCATGTATGGAGCGACATTTCTGTGAAGCTCTTTTCCTAACACACTCTTTTTGATAAACGTTAATGAATGTATAAATAAAATACTTTGTCCTGGCTGTAGTCGTTATTAATATTCAGGACGAACTCGTCAAGTTTTGTGTACAGTTTGAAGTGAAATGTAGAATGCAACCTTGTGAACTGAATTAATAACAGATAATTGGATTCTTTGAAGATCGTATTGTTTTACCTGATGGTTCACGTAAGCTGTTCATAAATCAGAGTGAAACATGTTAAAAAAAAATAGAAACATTCTCTCCTGTGTTCTTAATAGTTATATGAGTATTAATTGGTGTTTAAATTTGTTGAAACAGAAAAGTTTTGTTCTTTCTTCTTACTACAGGTTGCCATGAGGAGAATTTGTCCTCCAGAACGTGATATGATGCCTTCGTCCGCACCCCCAGTCAAACAAGGACGAGGAACGTTGCTCTACTGGTTTCCGCAGTTGTGGGGATGGAACTATTTGACATCAGCAGCATCTTCAGCACCTCATCCTATGGATACGCCTCCCGGGCCGGAAAGTACTCCAAGCAAAACAGAGATGGAACTGGAAGATCAGATACTTGACGTCTTAGCTGACTCTGTAGAAAACAATACAATTCTAAGGAGAGATGTCGTTTTTGGACAGTTCAACTTCACGCTGAAGCAAGGAACATTTAATTTATGTACTATGAAAAAGACTGGAAATGTGGATGAAACAGAGAAGTATGTAAATTACAATTTCTCTGTATTTTTTATTGAGATTTTTTTAGTGTTTGCAGGTTGATGTCTCAGGTTTTGACCTTAGGTTAGGCTATGACCACTTTCTTCCATACCATTTCAAATTTATCATTTGGGGCCTTGCAGTCTTATTTATTGACAGTGATGTTACATAAATATTCTCTCAGTCTGTCTTTTAATTTTTTGTTTAGTATGTACTTATTAGTATTCTTTCTAGGTGTGAGCTCAGTAGGGTTATCTTTATAAAATTAGTAAGGGAACTTCCCCTTTCAGACACTTGGTTTGGGCAAAATGAGGAATTGAGACACTACTATTTAAGTAGTGCCTGTTGTTAAGTAATAACTAAAATTAACTTTATTTACAGGGTGCCCTTGATGGTGCTTCAGTTTGAAAATGTAAAATTGGGCCTAGAATCCCGACCACGTTCAGGCTCTCACAAATTTCAGATTAGTCTAGGAGCCATGTTTCTTCATGATCATCTGACGCATGATACGGCTTTCCCACAATTGGTCGGACCTCATGATCAAGACTGTGGATCATTATTGGGGCATGGAGGAGTTTCTAACCGCACTTATACTCCAAGTCTCGTCAGGTTGCGTAGTCAAAACTCTGTTTCAAACAGAGCACAACAAGAAGAACCCCTTTTCAAGCTTGTTTATGAGTATCGGCCTTTCAACTCTGGCATGGATTATAGGTGAGCGAACAAAAGAGAAACTGTAATATTATTCATATAAATGTTACGTATACCCGTTTGGTGACACTTCATTTTGGCTTGGAATGCCTAGTCAGACTGAGGTAGGTTTACATAATTTTTTGCCTTTGTGCATCCTAAATGATCCCTTAACACTAATCTGTGATAAATTTAGTGAAAAGGCACTTACTTGCACATTGATTTCTTTTGTTTCTGATATTTGTTACAGATTAAATGTTCAGTCACGTCCCCTGGACGTAGTTTACAATCCTGTTGCAGTTGAATGGTTAGTCGATTTTTTTACACGACCTCATCAGTCACCAGACACACAGCTTCGTCGCGCTGCACGACATCGCTATGAGATTATGAAGCAAAAGACAAAACAGGAGTTTATACGGAACTGGGAGCAGATACTGGAAGGAAAATTGGTAATTTTATGTTAGTTTTGTCATCTTTAGAAACAACTAGTTCATTGAGACAGCTATCTTCTGGGTTGTAGAACCGTGTAGTCTGGTAACAATTTTGTATTGTGTCCTGGAATTGAAACAATCCCTAGTGCGGTACTTTCAACTTCCTGTTATGAACAGTACTAACACAACAATCATATGAATTTGAGTGATCGGAAGTTTTATTTGGTCATAAGTATTTTTAAAATGTGGGAAATAACATGACTACATAAATGTTTTGGTTTGATCATAACTAATTAATGTAATTTGACAATTACAATGCGAGAATTTTTGAAGAAAATTATGTGTTCACTTCTTCATTAGATTTTTATGTTCTTAATTTCTGCAAGAAAATTATTTTTAGTATGTGGATTCTTGGAGTAAATAATTTACTTTTTCTGTTATTAGAATGACAGAAAAATGTGGGATGTGGTGTTGGATATTTGGGGTCCTCGGATCATGTTCGTGGAACATTTCTGTGATAAGAATGCTATTATGGTAGTGGTGGATTTTGGCAAGTTTCACTTCAGCAATCAGCGAGATACAGAAGCTTGTGCCACAGCGACATCTCAGGCTCGGGAGAGCGATGACGAAGGTGAGAGACTTGTGTCTTAATTGACGCTAGAAAATATATCTGTGGCATCACTGTGGATTCAGTAAGTAAAACTCCTCTGTCATTTCACTGTTGAGTGCCTTATCCACTGTATGTCTTAATATTAGACTTCATAGCTTCTGCATTGATCTATAAAGCATCATGTGAATATAAACCATCTGTTAGGTTGACAGTCTGTCTACACAACAATTCTTTGTTATAGTTTCAATGTTTATTAAGAATCTGCTACATGTTTTAACCTTAATTGCCCATCTTTAAGTGTTTCTCTTTTAGTGTTTGAAACTAATAAATATGACTGCTAATAACTACAGCTTTCAACCATTAACTACATCTTCATAGTCCGCTCTACTGAAATAGGTCAGCTGTTTAAGACGCAGTCCAGTACGTGGTGAAGTAAGCAACAGAAAATTAGCAGTCATATCTATTAGTTTAAATCGCTTAATGAGAACCACCTGAAAATGACCATTTAAGGTCTGAACGTAAGTAATTATGTCATTTTTGGCATTAATTTTCTAACATCATGATTGTTTTATTTCCCTATAGAAGAATTTCAAACACCATGCTCGACTCCACATGGTAGTGAAGCTAGTATTTCAGAAAGTCAGACGGTAACAGATATTCCTGTTCGACCAAAAGCAGATGATTTTCTGAACAGCAGTTTTACTGATCTTACACTACATCATAAGTTCTACGACAGGTGAAGTAGTCCTAGTAATTATCATGTACTTTGAAGCCATATTTGAGAAGTATGGTAACATTTAATTTGAGCATATGTTGCAGGCTTGCTTATTTAAGTGATCAGATCCACACGATTTTGTTATAAATGACAGATTATGATTCTGTTGCTTTTTGCAAGAGTTGGCAGACCTTTAGAACTAAGAACTTGTTATTTCATCTCTCAGATATATGAATAAAATAATATTGAAAGTGGAGGAACAGTGTTGGTGACCACCTACAAGATTGTATTCCTATAGTCAACATGTAAGAACCTAAAATTTTATATCATATTGAAGGGTTTTGCTAATGTTATGCATGACATAAAACACACTTTAACACAAAATCTAACTTTTTTCCTCAGCAGCAAGAAAAGTCTGCTAATCTGCCAGAGCACGACGTATAAAATAATTGGATTCTTAAATTTAATTGTAGTTCTGCTGTTATTTTTACAATTTTTAATTTTGATTCTGCAATACCGATTTTTATTTTGTTGTTAATCGTATCACCTGAGTTTAATATTTTAAAAACAATGTAAATTGATCCAAGATGAGGTATGAGGTATAAGATGTGCTTGCAGGTATACCGTGGACCTTGGAGACCTTCAGATTCTTGTTGGCCGTGTGCGTGATAACTTCAAGTATGCCCACCAGCGTGGCACGTCCACCCTGCATGTCCTTGATCGCTTCAACATTTCGTTGCAAGTCGAACACAGAGTGGTATTCACGACTGATCCTCAGTTTCCGGTTCTCACCGTCTCTGGAAATTTACCTCGATTGGTCGTTCATGTTAATGAACAGAAAATTGATGCTTTGAGAACTATGGCAGCTATTATTAGTGGCAAGGGACTTCCTTCACCATTTAGGTGAGTATTTAATCTCTTAATTGCAAACTTTGTTTGAAATGACGAAGGCCCTTTTTCTCATCGTAACAGATTATATGTAATGTAATTTAAAGGCATGGACTGGTTTGAAAACAGGAATTGAACTGATTTATTGCAGTGTATTTTGTTTTAAAACTTTGGCCTTATTAGTATAAAAAGTTATGATTTTTCCATCATTTAAACCCAGATATTACTGTTTTTATTTGAGACCAGCTGTCTCGACTCAGGTTTTCTATGGTTTCCCTCAGTCCCTCCAGGCAGATGCCGTGAGTAGTGCTTTAAATTAGGCTATAATCACTTCCTTCTGTATCCTTTGCAATTTCATTAATAACCCGATCATTTGATGCTATATATGTGCCAAGTGTTGTTAAATGAACTGAAAAAAGAAAATAAAATGAATTGAGTTTGCATGTGCACAACTTGTTTCTCTAAAATTCATTTGGTGTAATCTTCCCATTTATGCTTTGATTAAGTTAAAATGACTTGTCTTTCAGATCTCAGCACACTTCATGTGATGACAGTGTAGGTGAAAATATGGCAGGCGCAGATTCATGTAATTCCGCAGAATCACAGGAATGGGCCGGCAGAGAAGCGGCTTGTCTCGTTATGCTTCAGTTCAGTATTAATCAGATGGCTCTTGAGGTATTTATACCATTTCCTAGCTCAGCAACTCTTCTGCAGTTTTACAAATGAATCTGATTATGATCTGCTTAAAAGTGTGCATAAAGTCCAGACAAAATGCAGTTCTATCGGGTAAAAAGAATAGAATAAAACTTGCATCAGAAGAAAGTTAACCCTTCAGCAAAGGCATTTAAATCCCATAAGAAATTTATTGTTATCGTTGGTTTTGTCAGCTGTCTGAATTAATTATGGAATATAAGTCTGTTGAGATACCCAAAAAAATAAGATGGAGAGATAAAATGTAAGTGCTTAATACATAAAAGAAGATGAAGAAGAAGAAGAAGACTTTGTCATACTGCAGTTTGAGTGTTTGAAAGAAAAATCTAGAAATCTGGACAAGTATGTAAATTCAAAAAGCTTCTCAATTTATGTTACAAATCATATATATTTAAACTTTGGTGAAATTATACTTTACAGTACTGATTGGTTACTTAAATTTTATCATATTTATGTCCTGATTCACACATGGGAATTTAAAGGACTCTGGATCTTCCTTCTCTGAGATAGTAAAGTACTGAATCTGTAAGGAAATTAATGCAAAGTTGTTTCGCTGCAGGTCCAGTCTCGTGGTCGATGTGTTGCAGAATTGCAGGTGTCAGGGGTGAGAGCAGCTTACACGAAGCGACCATATGACACCAGAATCTGTCTGAGCGTTCATAGCCTGTTGCTCGTCGATGCCCTGCAGATGTTTGGACCAGACTTCGAACTCTTGGTTGCTAGTCATAAGCATGTTGGGTAAGTAGCAAAGTTTGTGCAGTTCTGTAGCTCAAAATTGTTGTTCTTAAGGGTAAATACATTTGGTAATACATTTTAATTCTGCTTATAAATGTACTTAAAATTAGGCATATGTAATGTTTGGCCCAGGTACATGGATTTGTCTGAGAAAATTATAGTTGTAGTGCCAAGTTTAAGTGTTAGTGTAATTTTTTAGTTTTTTGTGTTCAGTTCTCTTGTAAGGTTTGTGTCTTAAATTGCTATCCTGAATGTGTCAGTGAATTAAGTTTTGTTAGACCATGACATCATAAGTAAAGCATGACGTAAGTAAAAGCTTGACATATAATTTACAATTCAGGATGGATAGTGTGAGTGGAAGCCTGATTGACAGTGAACCTACATCACCAGTATCGCCTGCTTCACCAGACCCCCTTGGTTCCAAGGCTCTTAAAGCAACGTCTCCTATCGCACTGACACAAGCATTGTCCAGTTTGCAGAATGACCCTGCTTCAGCAGCTAGAGGTTGGTACTGTATTATGTTGCCACTATTATAGAAGAATATGATGTTCGGTGTTCGGATTATTTTAATTTTTTTATTATTATAACTGGTGCTGGAATTGAAGAAGCCTGTTGCCTTTATTTAAGATACATTAAAAAATGGGGTCCGCAGTGGCCACGCGGTCTGAGGCGTGGGCCTTCTGCTGCTTGGTCGCTGGGACCATGGGTTCAAATCCTACTCAAGCCATGGATGTCTATCCGCGTTTTTCTGCTGTCCTGTGTACAGGTAGAGGCCTTGCGACGGGCCGATCCCTCGTCCAAGGAGTCCTACCGAATGTCCATAGATCGAGCCCACGAAAAGTTGGGACCCGCAATGCTTTGGCACTTGAAGAATGGGTCGTTCCCAGTATCCCAGTATCCAGTACATTAAAAAATTGAAGAAAAAACCAACGCCTGTTAGTTGCATCATGTGTCTCTCTCTTGTTCTACAAGTAATGGCACTATGGGGCAAACTTCCATGATATTAGTTGTATTAGACATACGTTGAATTTTGTTGACTGATTTTTAATTTTGTTGATTTTGTGGGCAGTATGGGGTTAATTTAACTCTTATTGTTATATTTAAATTCTTTTAAAGATTTTTAATAAAATTAGTGTGTAACCATTGTATTATGTAAGTATTACATTGTGGAAGTTGTGTTTACTTCAGTTTTAAGTCCTACATTACACATGGATAGGCCTAATGACATTTAACTTGTTGGCTGCCAGTTGTGTTCTTCTGGTTTGTGGTGCCTTGTATTTATGTAAGTGGTTACCAGTATTTCAGAGGAATGTATCTTTGAATAAATTTTTGAAAGTGTAAAGATTATCTATAATCACACTGTACTATTGTAAGTAGCTTTATTGCATTACATGGCGTGTTTCAAGATCAAAACCTGTTAATGGTAATGTTGCTTATTTCAGCTGTATCGCCAGCTGGTGGCGTCCCGTCATCCCCCCCACAACTAGGGTCTCCTCCCCACAATTCAGCTGACCTCCCACCTTCAATCAACTTGGATATGCTTGACACAGAGGCACTCATCACAGTCGAAGTATTTATCGTCAGTGCCAATGCACCGTCTAATGAGGGAAGTGGAAAGGCGCTACAGACTGCGTCTGTACATTTCAATAATCTGGACATTATAGGTACTGTTGAGCGTGCGCTATGCCTTAACTTGTCTCTGTGTAAAAGGCTACTTAATCCATGTACTAGCCTCAAACTCCTCTTTATGTTTATCGTAACTTTGGTGCTTCCTTGTTGAATGCTTTCTGAACTGTTGAAGTTTAGGTGATAGTTTCCTGGGTTGTTGCGCTGTGTAGACTTTTGGCTGGATTCCAATGGTTTTTGAGGAACATACAGCCTCCATCTTTAGAGTTTAAGTGAGAGGTGTTAGGAAGTAGGTGGTTTACGTAGGGTTATGAGGAGAACCGAGACCGGAGTTTGCCAGTCACATCCGTGGAATAAAGAGGGGACATTGAGCTGTATTAAGAGGCAGCGGTTTCGTCACTGCCGACAAGAATTATTCACTCTTTGAAATTATGAACTGATAGTTCGCAATGTTTCAAACAAAGTACAATTTTTGCAGCATCGTTAGTTTTTCACACTCTTGTTTCTCTGTGTTCATCCTTTATTACTCCACGCACAATGGAATGGAGTGCAGTTTAAACAAGTGGATCAGCGTCAGTGGTATTTAACTTAATCAGTCGTATGTTGTATGACATGTAATATTTAAACTATAATGAAGTATAAACTCGTCTGGTACCAGTGTGTCACAAAGAACAGTACGGATAATTGAACAAAGGGAAATAAATATTGAAAAAGAGCAAATTTAATCACAGTTAAGAATTTTTTACATGTGTCAGTCTTCTGTTTTTAAGATTACACGTGCCTAAATACGTGCTCATGTTTATCACATAATTTTCTTCAGAATATATTCAGTGATTCAAGTTTATAAACAGCTGAATAGTAGATGGCTGTCTTCTGGTTCGTAGCACTGTGTAGTTTGGTAGAAGTTTACCAATGTTTCAAAGGTCCTTGCTGCCTCCTTCATCAGGACTCATCAGCCTGATGATTAAGGCAGCAAGGACCTCTGAAATGGTGAACTTCTACCATACTACACAGCCATCTTTGGACTCATTACCATGAAAATCCCAGATCATTCTTAGCTGAATAGTAAAAGGAATTTTTTTCATTTTGATTTTAGCGAACCAAGAAACCATAGTGGAGTTAATGGGATTCACGCGTAGAGTTTTCCCGCAACTGAAACCTGGTCCTAAGAGACCACCACATGTGGCTCCAGTTAATAATATTGATACCAGTACTGCGTCTAGTCAGGTTGAAGTGTGTTCGACTCCACAGGAAGACGTAGCAGCAAGTAGTGGACTGAGTCATGGAGGACCAATCATACGTACTGAACTTACTTTCGACTTTCACCGCCTGAACGTTCTTTTATTACGAGCTGTGATAAAAGACTGTGGTATCGTAGGACGAAAAATTGGAACAGCAACAATGACAGAAGCAAAAATTCAGGTCACCGTTGGTAAGCGACTGATTTGAAAAGGGCAGTCCAAGCTAGTGATTTGATATAAATAAGTCCAGGTCACTCTTGTTATATGTAGGGGTTGCATTACTGTGAATCATCACTCATGTTAAAAACGCATGAAAGCAGGAGATGTGCAACATACTCATGGATTTTCTGATTGATATGGCATGAGAAACCATAATTTGTAGTCTTTTGTAGTGGGGCGAGTTCGTGAAACTCACTGAGTCTCTGTGGCAGCTTTTGTCATAGTTGTGTATGGAATACTCATGCCTCTTATGGTACTGAAATGAAACTACAGATTTGAAAAAATGCAGACAGCTAAAGTGTATAATGAGAGTCACCTGTAAAAGGTATTAAACATAATTAAAGGTATTAATCACATGGCAGTGAAAATGTTGGTGTTGGCCTTCTGGGTTGTTATACCATGTGGATTAGTACGTAGCTGTCGTCATTTTGGAGGAGCATACTGACTCCATCTTCTTCCACCAAAACATCGGTGCACATTCACGTGGTATTACGACACAGAATAGCAACAGTGGTACGTAGAACGGGATCTTACTCATTGGGCGTAGAATTACAATGATTACATTTGAAAACTTCTTTCATATCTTACCAGTTGTCTGTGAAATGTTTGTAGGTCAAGATATTGTGGTAGAGGGCTCTCTTGGAGGGCTCCAGGTGTTGGATCTTACTCCCGAAGGTCAGATGCACCAAAGGATCTTGAGTCTTGGAAAAGATCCACTTATAGAAAGGAATATTGATCTTATAAGCTGTCTTGATGCGGAGCTCTATAGCATGTGTCAGCAGTCTCTGGTGAACACCGAAGAGAACCGGGCATTCAGTTTTAATGTGCGCAGACCTCTCGAAAGAGCAGAACCAGGTAACGTGCTTGTACTTATTAATCTCATATCAGTGAAACAAGCTGGATCTTGTGAGCTTGATTTTATAACCATTTAAAAAAAAGTGAGTGCAAACAATGTTCAATGTTGACAGTAGGGGTTTGAACCATTGGGGGGGGGGGGGGTGGCTAGTATATGTCACTCTCCCAAATTTGTGTGTGCAGAGTCGAAGGCTTAAGTCTGTGAGCGGGAAATATCGACACTCGGCTCTGACCAAGAATCAAATCTGACTGTATTAGAGTCCAGTGTTATCACAAGGCTTCCAGGTTCTCTTTTGAATCATAAGTAATTGGTGAACTAAACATCTTATATACCAAATATCTTTTATTACAGACTGCGCAGAGATCAAGGTACGCATGGCATCAGTTTGGTATACTCATTCCCCACAGTTTGTGACCGAGCTTCAGTCTTGCGCCACCGAATTCAAGCAGTACCTAACCAACGTGGCACGTTCCATCAAGTCTGCCGCTACAGAAATGGCCATGGGATTAGTGCATGCCAGGTAACATGAGCGACAGCGACGAGGCACTTCATTATTTTGTAGGATTTGAAGTTGTCACAGTAGCAAGTATGAGGATGACTGTCTTAAGGGTTTGAGAGTCATATAGTTTGGTTGGATTACCCTGATGATGGAGGCAGTATGCACCTGTGAAATGTCAGTAAACTTCTTGCCAGACTTCATGGTGCTAGAAGATGGCCATCATCTGTTTAGTATTTTGTTGTTGCGTCGTGCCTTTCAGTTTAAAATAAGGTAGATGTAAGCTGTAATTTTACCTGTTGTTCTATATGGGCATGAAACTTGGTTTCTTATTGTAAGGAAAAACAGGGCTTGAGGGCGTTTGAGAAACAAATTTTATCAGTAGACAGCGTTTGTTAACTGTGGTCTTTTTGGTTGTGGTGCCGTGTGTATTTGGAGGACGAACTGAAAGGATAGAATATTGTATCTCATTAAATAACTTTTATGTTCTGCATGCAATTTAATTTTATCTGTGTATTATATAATTTTTGCCTTAGAAAAATAAGTAGTTGGGGAAACCATGATAGTCGTAAAAGTATAATTTTCTTACTGTGTGGACATCTCACAGTTAGCGTCAACTTTCAGGACAGAAGCCCTGGCACAAACTTTGTATATGAATAGTCGCCTGTCTTCTTCATTGTATGGTGGATCAGGCTGGGAAATGTCACCTCGTCGAAGAAGGCGAAGTATCTCGCAATCATTTGAGCAACTAGAAGGGATGTCTAGTAGTAGGGGTACTACCCCACACACACCATTCAGCCCCAGCATGGATGATGAATCCCTTGATCTCCTTCTTGATATCAAGTTAGTATTAGGTCATTTTCTGCTTTAATAGTAACTTTAAATGTAGTGAAAATGCTGACTTAATACAAGTAAAGTCGCTGTGAAAACACCGATGTAATTATTGAAATGAAGGAATAATATTTTCAGGTTGGATATTGTTTTGGATACGCCTGTTGTTGTACTGCCACGTTCGCCTCAGAGTCATCAAGTCTTTGTAGCTCACCTTGGAAAAATTACAGTCAACAACCACTGCATGTCTAGCCCGGATTTCCAGGACCGCGAAGATCTGTGGGGAATGAGCAGACGAGAGCGATACAACGTTGAGGTCCGCGATATGAACTTGTATTCCCTGGATACCGAAAAGAGAAATGTCAAGGATACTTCATATCTGCAGTATGTTTGTGTTATAAATTTTATCCGTGTAAGCCTCTTATTATCAGATGCAGTGCTACATTCTTAGAGAATTGTCAGACTGTTTTGTGACGATTAAATTAACTTGGAAGATCAAGATACATGCAAAATATTTAAAACCAAATATTTTTCATAGTTGTGCCATCTATTAATATACAGTTGAATTACAAGTAATAAAAAACTAACTTCAAAGCATTAGCGAGATTGTGTTAGATGGCAATTACTCCATCTGCTTGATTGTTCTTTTCAGGAGGGCAGATGGAATATGATTGATGTGTTTTCCATTCGTCTTATACGTAATATATTTTATATGTCTGTCGAAATATGTCTCCTATTTTAAATCAAATTACAATTTCATATTGTCACTTTCTTAAGCCATGACAAACAACTGATATTTAGAACTTATATTTGTACCAAAATATTTGATACGTCTTTCAGTCCAGATGGAGACTACCCTCTCGTTCGCGCAGACAGGCTGTACAGATGTGCTGAAGATGGTAAACCAATACTTCATGATACTGTGATTCAGCTTGTAATTGATCGTGATATGGGTCGCAGTGTCATGAAACAGTCTGACAGCCTGCCAACTCTACTCATGGGGGAGGATGCTGGTACAGAATTCCAAGAGATAGAGAAGCAAGATGTTGTTCAGGTAAAGGCCATTTCTGATTTATTAGATGATGCTTACAGATGAAGTAGCTGTTTTGCATCTCATCGGAGATGCCAAGTATAATATGGCCTGTGATGTTGTGAGGGCCATTATCAGTACTAATGTTAATCTCTTAGAGCTTTTGTTGTGGTATATTTTATCCATTTGGGCTTTTTGCAAAGCGTAATAAAGTCTGTAATATGGACAGAGATTGAAATTTATGTACTAGAAAATAAATTACTCTCCAACATTGGACCAAACATTCAAGCTTCCCACCGTACAGCTGGAAGTTTACAGTTTCAAACATTTATGGACCATTCTTCGTTGAGAAAACGGTAACTGAAATCATTTACGTAAATGTGCTGGAACTGTTTCTTATACCCAAATTTCTTCACGATACTGAGGTAGCAGGAATCCTGTTCCAACGCGCTCCACCACATCGTCACTGCAGGGTCACATCTATCCTTGAAGCCACATTCCCCAACAAGTGGCTTTGTTCAGATGGACCTATCAGGTGGCCACTGTGGTTTGAAGTATTAACAGCATAAACAAACTCTTCCTTGGAAACCTGATCATGTATATCAGTAAAATAACAGCTGGTTTTAAGAATATTGAATATGAGAGTGGCAGTAAGTTGTTTATTATGTGTTCTTGCTCTGTAGCACTCGACTTTACTGATATTACATCATCATATTCGTGTCCTCCAGATATCAGGTAGTGTTGTGACTCCGCTGAAAGTATCGCTGTCTCGTCAGCAGTATGAACAGTTGTTAGACATGCTTGAAAGCCTCATGGCCCGATCAGCCCCTGAGGAGACCGTCCCGATCGGCTCGCGTCGACTGGTCGATATTAAAGAGGAAGAGGCTGAGCTTCACACTGGGGTCTCGACTCTCAGTATGGATCCAGCACTGAGAGCAAGAATGTTGAATGTTGGCAGTGGAAAGCCAAAGGTCGAAAACCAACGCACGCTTACGCTGAAAGGTAATACAGTTGCTTCTGTTTCTTTTATAACGTACACTATCTGTATATGCACATTCAGACGCACATGTTGAAAGTTAGTGCTGAGATATCATTGTTGGTTTCTTGGGATTTAACATTGTCAGGACTTGTAGGTAGGTGCCATTTTCAGTCCTGAAGATGGAGGTAGTATGTTGCTTCCAAGCGTTGGTATTTTTCTGCAAATCCTGACGATGTTAAAATCCAAGAAACCAACAATAACATCTTTACTGCATTAATCTCATGTCTTATATAATGCAAAGGTAATTCAGATGGAATTATAAAAATTTAACACAAATGAAGAAAATTTTTTTGAAAAGAAGATTATGTTGAAATTTTGTTTGTATTTCAGTATCATTTGATCTTCCAGTATTCACATTTGAGCTTCGGGGTGATTTAGGAACTGGAGAGCAAGGTTTAGTGGATCTGTCATTTCGAGATTTCAGCGTTCAGTATGATAAATCGCACAGATACGAGACTCATATACAGGTAAGTGCTTCAGAAGTCAGTCACAGAATAACATATTTATCATCTTGCGCCTTGTTTCTAAACCAATAACTAATTAACTAATTCTGTGGTAGTAGAACCTTAAGATTCAACACTTCCTCCACCCAAGCCTACTTTTTTTTTCAGAATCCGCAACCAGTTTCATCCACCTCTGATCCTCACAACCTGTCTCCCTAAGATCCATTCTTTACCAAGAAGTTTCCCCGCAATTTTCTGTATGCAATCCATGTCTCCGTCGTCTTTTCCCTTGTATATTTCACTATTCTAACAAAACTAGGTTACCCATACAGTTTTATTTTACATACACTATTGCTAACTTCCACGTGTTATTATTATTCATTTCAGTTTTATATGGGTGTGAAGTGTGATCTTGTGTTTTTAAATAACATTAGCACGAGTATGTGAAAACCAAGTGCTCAGAAAAATATTTGAACCTAAGAAGGACAAAAGAGCCCTTTAGAATATAATGTAACAGGCGCTATGGGGTGTGTAGAGTTACTCCAGAGTAATTAAAAAAGCAGCTCTTCAGTTTTATTTTACATATGTCACAGTGTATATAGACAATGTATATCAATGAAAATCTAATACCGTTGTCTCTTAATGTGTTCAGATGTCTCTTCGTTCACTTCTGATGGAAGATCTGTCCGTCGAAGCTGATTCTAAGCATCGTCGGATTGTAGTGTCATCTTCGGCAAAAGAATCGGAGGTCAAGTTTTTGAATCGCTCGCCAGAGTTTTATTCTAAATCATGTCCAAACTTTTTGAATCATCGACCTATAAATAATCGTCACGGTTCTTTGCCAGATCATTTGGAAACAGAGACTGTTTATGGAGCATTCACTAACACCGCAAGAAGTAAATCAGGTGAGTACAAATTATCTGAGTCAGTATACCAGTTCTTGAGGTGCTAATAGTTGCTCAGCTGGCCAGGAAATTCCAAATTTTTTATGGGACCAAATATTTATTACTGTGATGTTGAACCTGCTTGTGAGTTCTGATACAATTTTGCCAGTGAACCATCTGCTGCACCAAGTCAACACACAAAAGCAGGTTAAGCATCAATAATGAATCACCATGAAGTGTTAAAACAGATGTTGATTGCCATGTTTGCTAAAGCCAGCCACGAGTTCATGTCATGAGTCATGTGAATTGAGTCTGCACCCACCATTTTCCTCTAATATCCATTTTAATGTTATTCTCCCATATATTAATGGGACTTCCATATGATCTCTTCCTGTCATGTTTATTTTGTCATTTTTTAGTTTATATTTCAAAGTTTCATGTGATAACACTTTTCGTCTGTACCTCCTTCAGACAACTGTAAACTGAAAATATCACGCTCTCTCTGTTTGATGAGTACACATTGTTTGTTATTGTTGTTATTCTGGGGTTTGACACCGTGTAGACTCGTTGGTAGGTGCCACCATTTTGGAGAAACATTCTATCTCATCTTCAGGGCAGAAGGCGAAAACATCGGCACCTACTGATGTGCGTACGTGGCACCGAAACTGAGATTACAATATTCATTCTCACTGATGTAAAAATCTCAAATCTCACATGTCGCTTGGTCTCTGCAGTCAAACCACCAATGAAGCGACCCAAAAATGTGGAATATCCGTGCACTCCCCCACCATCGCCTCGTATCTCTGGCTCGCCGGCCGGTATGTATAGGGAAGATAACCTGGTACACATCAATATGATGCTTGTTGATAAAGATGCTCCAAACTTCATATCTCATTATGAAGGGGTACGTATTTCTCATGACTCTATTTTCATACTTATAAATGTTTTCATTATAAATAATGATCTTAGGATATTTTTTACAAGGGATGTGGATAATTTTAATTTATCTTTTAATATTGAACATTAATTTACAGCTATAGTAGTTGGATTTAAGTTCTTGTGATACGCTTCTACTGTTACGACCAGTAACACCCGCTTAAGAATTCTCAGCTCATGGTTTTACCTGTAACAGATTGCATTTAAGATTTCTTTTGTCTGTGTCTTATCTTACTTAATAAATTTGGTTTTTCCTAGACTATATTAACTCATTAATAATGACTACTATCATACATGTAATACCATAAATTATTTATTTTATGAAATAATGTATAGCTTACCAGTATTTGTAAGAAAAAATATAATATTACCTTTATTGAAAGTCAATTGAATATTGGAATATTTTTCTTTGTCATAATTCTTGTTGGTTAATAAATGTTTCTGTTTGAATTACTGTTGTCAGTAATTTGTTTTATTAGTTGAATGTTGTATAATTTGAATGCAATAATTATTTTCTTTACCCCTTTAACACTTTTTTCATTTTAGCTGGATCGCTCTGTGAACGTAGACTTTAATTCACTTGACATTATTGTGAATGTTGAGTCCTGGGTTGTGATTCTGGATTTCTTTGGACTGGGCCCTGACAGTCCAACAGGAAAACACAGGACAAGCACTGCCTGGCAGTCTGTTCCGTCAGAAAAGAATTTGACTGATAAAGGTATCGTATTGACGTTAGAGTAAACTGAAATTAAATAATGACATCAGAATCCACTGTATACATATAACATACAGTAACATGAATATGTTATTTGTCTGCAGGTGCAAAATCATTCAACTCAGAGTTAGATGTAGAAATTCGTTCACTAACCCTCGTATTGAACTGCCCACAGTACGAAGTAGCAAGAGCGAACATATCACATTTTTCAACTCAGGTGAAATCCCTTGATATTGAACAAATTATAGAAGGGCGCTTGGGTAGTATGTCTCTTCTTGACCTCACACCCCATGGACATCTGTACAGGGAAAGGTTCATCTCTTCAGGCCATGAAGCGCTCAACTTCTACATGCTCAGGTAATATGAGAGACAATGTGTTTAGGTGTTTCCTTTCTTAAATATAATTACATGTGTGTAGTGGTTTCTATTATTCATGTATATGACCAGTGTTAATTACGTTTAATAATCCTAGAATGTATGGGTGATTATTCAGTTCAATATTTAATTCATCTAATCCTGATCCCTGTCTTCTGCGTTGTAGCGCCATATAGTCTGGTAGAAGAGTGCCGATGTTTCACGGGTACTTGCCGCCTCCAACATCAGAGCAGTCATGGTGCAACACCCCAAAAGATGGTCCCTCCATATTTATTTCTGTAATTGTGAGAGAATCCACTTGTGTTTTCTGTTGTTGTTTTCAGTCTGTTCGTTGTACTGAATGCTTTATTCTAAGTAGCTACATTGGTATTCATCTTTAGATCATTAGATGTTTACACTGAAGATGGAGGTTATATTCTTCTTTAAAGCACTGGTAATCACACAATATTGTAATCCAGGAGACCTCAGCCCACATCTTCGTTGCTGTGGAAACCTCAAATCTCATCCTTACATTCGTCCTCATTAATTATACTTTTCAGAATGTAATTTTTTATGCGAATGTGTTTCCAGCCAGTAGCACAATTGCCAGCGTGGAAGGCAAGGGCTTTTATATTAGTGTTAAAAAAGTATTTTAAATTTTCAGAAATCGGCATCAGGGTTTGGGAGTTGAATTGGAGTATGACTCATTCCTGAAGCTGGAGATGTCGTCAGTGTTATATGTACACACACACAGATTTGTGACAGAGATACAAGCTTTTTTTCATAATTTCTCTCAACTGCAAAGTGTTGTGAACAGTATACACTCAGCAGCATCTGGAATTGTGGTATGTTGAAAATACGAACACTGTTCGATATCTGAGGAATGTACAAAATTTTATCTTGTTTACTTCTTTCACGTTATGATTTATGCTGATGGTGTTAACTTACTGAGTGAAAACATGCAAGGGGCAGTTAAATGAAAGTAAGCCAGTGATTTTGTGGAGGAGTCTGATCTTTATTTAGAAGTAATCTCCACCGGGTGTAAGGCATTTATCCCACTGTCTCACATGCACGTTGATAGTGTTCTCATGGAAATGCTTCCGTAGTCGGCATAGAATTTACACCGCTGCCTCCCAGATCTTGTCTCCCAATGAAAAATAGCGACTCTTCAAGTGTCTTTTTTTCAGTTCTCCAATCACATGGAAATCACATGGCAACAGATCTGGACCATATGGCGCATGCTTCAGATCCTCCCATCCAAATTTTGTTAGTTGCCACGATCACAGATGTTTAGGAAAATAATCACACTTTATTCTGTGAATAATACAAAATACACGAATACACTTGGGAAATGTACAGAGTTATTGAATGTTTAAGTAGGTGGTATATATACCTCCTACCCACCATGCTGTAAAGAATCAAGGTAGGTAATGTATTGCAGAGTTAGCTGATTTAATTGTTACTTTCCTGGTGACTGTACCTTTTTTAGGTACCAGAAGAAAAAACGCGATCGACCCGTCTCTTGTTAGAGCTGCACGCAGGTTCCCCAGGTATCCTGCTACCTGTAAGTTCACAGTCATCAGACATACTGGTTGTTGACTTGGGAAAGTTGTCGGTGAACAACAGCTTCTGTTTCGCTGGATCAGACGGTACCATCAGTGCAATGCAACAGTGGACGGAGTTCAGGAGAGACAGCAGAGAAGCTTCACTTGATAAGACACAACTCTCAGATGACATTTATCATGGTAATTACTTCACTGCCATTAGATGTTTAAATCCGAATGGTGTGAGCTGTAACATATTATTTTCTTCTTAAATTGGAGGGTTGGGGGCTCGTGTAAAGTGGGGCATTACACATGTAAATACTGGGTAATATGTTGTATTTCAATCCTGAATTCATGTTTTATGGAATATAATTTTTGCTAAAGAGTAAGACAGATTAATATTGGAATAAATACCAGCCAGGGTAGCTCAGTCAGTATAGTAACTGACTACAGACTGTATGACTGCGGTTCAATCCGCAGCAAGAGCAAAGAATTTTTATTCTAGCCTGTATGTCCTTACTGGCTCTGGGGCCTGCCCAGCCTCCTATCCAGTGGGTACCAGGGGTTTCTTCCCTGGAAGGTAAAGTGCAGCCAGGGCATGATTGACTGCTCTCCCCCACGCGGTGTTGAGGTAACAAACGAGTAGGAGCTATCTCTCGTCTCTTCCAAGCTCCTTAATGGCGTGTAGCTGGACAGGTTTATTTTTTATAAAAAAAAATTGTGAAAGATACAAAATTTTTATGTCAAATGTTATTTGTATTTCAGTTCCTTGTTTACTTGATGTGATGCAAATTGAATTGGTAAATATGGATCTGTATGCTGGTCAGAGAGAAGCGCAGGATTTGGATAAAAGACAGAAGAGTAAGAAACCACAGTGTGCCCTGGAGTTGGGGTCATTCTGTGTAAACAAACAGGGCCCTTCCCTTCTTCATGAGAAGTGTCAGTTAAAGCTTCAGGTGGAAAGAAATTTGGATACTCATTTAAATCATGACGGTAAGAACGTAGCTCGTAAGAAAATGAAAGTTGTTGAAGCGCAAGTAAAACATTAGTGTACAGCTTGTTAACAAAGCTTTGCAGATTAAGAGAGCATAAGAATTGTTTAACGAAGGGCACTGCAGTTTAGTAGACAAAAAGGGTGAGGAGGTTAAACATTTCTCCCCCCCCCCCAAGCGCCTACATGGTGCATAGTGTGACAGCTTCACTTTACACAGTGGTACATCTTATTAGCACATTTTTATATTAAGCTCATCCATAGCTTCCTATATTGATTAGTTCTTTACTTTTATAAGAAATATGATATTCATAATTAAGAAATTTATTAACAAGGACATTGCCTTGCTAATGGTTTTCACATGTGAAATTTATCGCTATATTTTGATATTTGAAATGTTTATTTTTTCTGCATAACTGACACCTTTCTGACTAAAAGTGTAGTAGACCATGTATATTTTCCCCATAAATTTCTTAGTGACGATAGTTATTACTGTGTGTAAGCCACTAAGTAAACTACACTGACTCCATGGAAGAGTGTCCTTGGGAGTCTGATAGTCATTTTGCTGGTCAAGAAATTCCCTGACTTTTATGGTTTCTGAATGTTCATTACCACATTCATAAGAATGCATATGCTGATATGTACCACTGTGAAAGGTAATATGAACAGTGTTAAATTGCTCAGGTTATATCGTTTCTAACTTAAGTCTGTTGTGCAAGAGGACTCACATTTACTAGCTGATACAGTGTGACCTTTGCTGGTTTTATGTACCTGTATATACACGTTTCCTCTACAGTTCCAGATGTGAGTGTGAAGGGAACTCTTTCAGCCCTGTATGGAGCTTTGGATCTCTCGCAGTATAAGCTTATTAGGGGACTGTTGTCGTACAACATTGGCGAAACCCTCGACGACATTGAATTTAAGAGCCCAGAAAGTACTACAGCTCATTTGTACAAACAGGTGTGTTCATTCATCACTCATACTGCTTAGCACTGGGTGGCTGTGGCTTTCTCCCACTAAAGCAGCGTTTCTCAACCTATGGTACACGTACCACTGGCGGTACGCAAGCCAATGTCGAGTGGTACGCGAACAAAGTAAAAAAAAAAAAGTTAATATTAACGTAACAGTTGTCCCTGAACACATTTGGTTAGTGGTACATTTAATGTGTTAAATTAGAATTAGTGGTACGCCAGCAAAAAAGGTTGAGAACCCCTGCACTAAAGAATAAAGAATATTTGTGCATCAAATGGGATTGACATGTGACATCAGTGAAGGCATTTGATGTCAGTATCTTTAGATAAATACCACTGCTTTGATTGGTAAGAACATGAATTTGGTATAAATGAAATTTGATGTGGACATATTGAAAATAAATACAGTGAAACCTCTATCCATCGTTCCCGGAACTATCGTTTTCCCGGATGCATCGTCCGTTTTGTTCGGTCCCGAATACATCCCATATAAAATAATGTTACATTTTCCCGCTTCTATCGTTCCTCGAACTATCGTTTTATCGCATCAAAAATCTTAGTCCCGGCCCACAATTTTCCCGCAATGATCGTTCCTGAGAATTTAAAATGCTGGGTTTAGAGATAAATTAATACCGAAAGACGCACAATGTTTTTGGAATAAACAGTAGCGGTAACCTGTTATGTCGCCCAACCAGCACATTCTTTTGGAATGAGGGTCAGCGGTGCAGGGGTGATAGTTGGAGTGAATGGCGGTGCTCATTGTCAGAAATTTTACGATTTTAATTAGGGTGCACTCATATTTCGTTCCAGCGATGCCAGATGGCATGTGCAGTGTGAATTTCTTCACAAATGCTTTTATTACAAGGACAAAGGAAAGGCGAAAGTGCTGCTGTGGATGTGGAAATAACGGAGCTGTGGCTCGAGAGACTGCCAACACTGCTGGAGGGATATGAGCCGCGGGACATAGGAAAACATTTTGAACGTGGAAAGTGCTCTGTTTGGTCTAAAACGTAAAGTTTCGACAAACCAGTTGTCCATTAAAGACTTTTTTGGTAAAAAGAAGTAACTTTGAAAGAGAAACATTGTTTTTTTTAAAATTTTTAATGCTTTCCCGCATCTATCGTTTTCCCGCATTCATCGTTTTTATTTCCCACCCCCGCCGAAAACGATGCATTGAGGTTTCACTGTAGTGTGTTGTAAGATTTGAGGCCCTGAAAATGACAGATATGAAGACTGCTTTCTTCTGGGTTGATGCGCCAAATAGTTCGATAGTTTGCCAGTGTTTCAGAGGTAGCAAGTGACTGAAATGCCATTGAACTTCTACCATGTAGGTTCTCATGTTATGAAATGTAGTTAAACTTCTACCAGACTCCATGGTGCTACAACTAAGAAGACAGCCCTCTTCATATCTTTTTTTTCTTTCATTTTTCTGATACTTATAATTTATTCAAAGTTTCTCACTGTAAGAAAATATTACACGGCCATGAAGTAATTTTGAATTGGATCTTGGAGAAATGAGTTATGAAGAAATTAACTGGGTTGTTGAGGTTCAGGATATGTCCAAGTTGTGGGCTTTTGTGATCAAATTAATGAATGTTCAGGCTCAATAACTACCACCACATGAATTAGATCCTTTACCGTACAATTATTTATTACTTTTATAGTTTTAACATAGATCTCCTTTTTATAAATTGTAACCAGTACAGTCTAAAATACTAATCTCGTGACTTTTCTGTATTACAGTCGAGTGTTACAGAAGGAGTCTGGACCCTGATGTCAGTTCATCTTGATCTGCTGGATGTTGTCCTGACATTACAGCTGAATCATGGAATTGCTTCTGGCAGTTGTAAATCATCTCTTGCATGTATAAACTTCATGAAGTCACGACTGATGGTTGAAACGTACAGTAATCAGTCTCGTGATGTTGACCTTGTCTCCCAAGAAATACTCATCACCGATACTCGTTTTCAGGGTAATTATTCTTGCTTATTCAATCCACTTTCTCTTCATTCTTTGGCACTGCATTATATAAACCTTCATCTTATTGAAGGGGTTACAGTGGCCGCGCGGTCCAAGGCGCGGGCCTCATGCCGCTTGGTCGCTGGGACCGCGGGTTCAAATCCCACTCAAGCCATGGATGTTTGTCCGCGTTTTTCTGCGTTGTGCTGTCCTGCATACAGGTAGAGGCCTTGCGATGGGCCGATCCCTCATCCAAGGAGTCCTACCGAAATGTCTATAGATCGAGCCAACGAAAAGTTGGGACCCACAGTGCTCAGGCACTTGAAGAACGGGTCGTTCCCAGTATCCCAGTAATTAAATAATTCACTAATATATCAGTGTGAAATTGATGTAAATGTGGTGTAATCAGTATTAAAGTATTTTTAAAAATAATTGAGTAAAATAACAGTATATAGGAAATTTATTATGTATAGTGAGGTGATAACTTATTTTTGTAAAGGGAACCATATCATTTACATGCAGTTCTGACAGTTCTGTTAATGTGTGGTATTCCAGCCAGCGCTGCTAACAGGAGGGCTAATGTGTTTACCAACATTCTTCAGCCAATAAATCATTTGGGCGATGCAGAACTGGTTCAGGTAGAAGTACATCACAGGTGAGATAAAATTATGTATTGCTAGAATGGTAAATCTTGTTCTGTGCTTTGTTTTGACTCGATGAATGTAGCCTTTGTCCCCTTTGCATTTGAAATATTTCTTATTGTCTAAATTCCTTTAGGTAGGAATGTTTGAACAGGGATATTTTCAGACTGAATCTTACATTAGGGCAGTGTTTGCATGGAAGTTTGTAAATTGCTTCATTTAGTTAGTCGTAACTTTAAATATTCCTGAGCTTCTTATGTGGTGTGTTATTGATTTTATAAAATCATTTGATTGGATGCTGTTTTGTAAGTTTAACATGGTTTACAGCGACTGGTGTCATGAATTCTACGCTTTATGATTTGTAAATGTGTTGTGGTTGATTATTGACAGGAAGAGACAAGATTTCTCCAAATTCACTATCCTGTTGAATAACATGCGACTCATGGCCATCTTGGATTGGTGGGAAGCAGTGAAAGACTTCATTATGATAAATATTGACAATCCTAGCGGAGGTTAGTTTGAAGGACATCTTGCTTTCATTAATTCAGACCAGGGATTTGAGAGTTACAAAGCTTAGTTGTGACAGTCGCCACCAGTTTAAATCTGTAAACTGAGAAGCCATATCTAGACAGACGAACAAAAGTGTTTTTGATGAGATTTCAGGTTCTCATGGCAGCAAGAATGAAGATGACTGTCTTCTGGGTTGTTGCTCTTTGTGGTCTGGACGAGGTTTAGTGACGTTTCAAAGATGATGGCAGCCTCCATGGACTACGTGGCACAATGTCCCAGAAGACAGTCATCTTCAAAAGTGTATCGATTCCGGAAAGCTTGTATTTTAAGGTTTTGAGGTAATTGCATGGCATCTACTGGAGGAAAGACTAAATATTTCTTGAAGTTGGTAACATTAAGAAGTACTGATGGCTGTGAAAACATCCTTGAATGCTGTTTTTGGTAGTGGATGGGTTCATTAGAACTAAGGCTTTCCATGTCATAAATCCTAATAGGAGAAATATGTAGTTGAATTAACTCATTTGAGAGATTACCTGGTTTTCTTCTAATCACATTGCACGAGAGTGTATCTACAGTAAGGGATGTTTTTTTTAAGTCTACGTAAATTGTTTTATTTTATTTTACCTTGTATATCAGGGTTTATTGAATTTTATTATTTATTTTGTATTTACCAATTTTTAATGAGTTAATGATTTATATTAATTGCTGTTTCATAAGCATTAATTATATTTTCTTGGTAGTGAAATTTTGTAATTTTCAATGATATATTTTTTCTGAGGAAATTAATTTAATTCATACATTGTTTCGGTTCGGTGTGTATTTTTCACGTCAATTCATGTGTACTCCTTTTGTTATATCTGATTAATTATATAAAGTATTATCGCAGTTGTGTCTTAATGTTCCAGCCTCAGGTAACCAGACGAGTCATACCATCATTGACACCTCCGCAAAGTCAGGTGTGTCAAGTTCTGGATCAGGACATGGCATAAAGAGTCAGGCACTTTTGAATACGGCTGAGGAAATTCCGTATGAACTTAAGCTCAATATCACTGACTCCGAAATTGTGTTTGTGGAGGACACATCTCAGTGGGACACAAATGCAGTCATTCTCAAGGTAACAAGAGTTCTCTTGTATGATAAGGGACAGGCAGATTTCAACTGTTTCCTTACTCATACTTTGTACTTATTCATTAATCACCCTATTATTTGGCATGATGTAGTCTAGGCCACTAATGCCATAATTAAATTAGTTACAAATAAACGAATAAATGAATGAATGAATGTATTTAGTTACTTTTTAATTTATGTATTAACTATTTTATCAGTGTCAGCTTAGAAATTTTTAATTCAGAAAGATCTCACTTAAATGGCCTTCTTCTGGGTTGTAGTACTGTAGATGATGATGGAGGAAGGAAGTACCTTTGTAATGCAGTGCTAAAACCCAGAAGACAGCCATCTTCATTCTCACCATTTTGAGAACCTAAATCTTACAGTGGATCTCACTAGTGTTGCTGCTGTTCATTAGTCACACCCTCATTCGTTTCAGAGTACGACAATTGTGTCATATCGCCCTGCACTAGTTGACAAGCCTCTGTCTTGTAATTTGAACCACTGTGAGATGTTCTCGTGCATCCTTGGCATGGAAGATGAGACCGCACTCTCAATCATTGATCCTGTGACTGTGAACATGGAAGTAACACGCCGTACAAGTGATGTAATCACCAGGGGTATTCCAGATGCCATTCTCTCACCATCTGACAAAGTTTTGGAAGTAAGTGATTGGTTTACATGTTTCAGTTTGTTTCTTAAACTGAAGGTCAATTTGTGTATATTTTTATACAGAATTTGCATGCAAAGTGATGATTCCATGATATGGTATATTCTAAAATATAATAAACTATGAGGATTGTACAACAGGTGTATCAAATAGATATTCTCTTTTGCACAAATTTTTGATTTTGTATGAAATAGTAAATGTGTGTTTGAATACTAATGTTAATTTTAGTTCTTGCATTTAAATGCTAGGTAGATTTAAAAGGCTGTTTACAGGAAGACTATTGCAGGTAACACTGTTTGTAATTATCAAAATATTTCAGATCCAAATGCATCAGCAGTTGAATATTCGACTGTCTTATCATGATATGAGAATGTTTCTCCAGATGCTTAATAGCCTTCCAAAGCAGACGCAGTGGGCAATGAACCATAATTCAGACCATGCCCGGCGGCCAGCGAATGTTCAAAGTAAGTAACATAAATAATGTAGCCTTTTTTTGTTTCGTAATCCGCAACAGTACAAGTCATTACTTTATGTCTCTTGTTAAAAATTGTTTTTTCAGGCCAAATAAAGAAGCTGTCAGCACTTGGTTTTCACCCCGATGATTGTATATCTGCTCTTGCTCAGTGTAACGGGCATCTGGATGATGCTGCCCTTTGGCTCACCCATCATGCGGACCTGGCAGATACAGTTGTTCGCGGGAAAGAATATGTGGATAGTAATTATTCCATATTGTCCTTTTGTACAATAGAGGTATGTAAATGTTACGTGGATTCAGATGGAAGATTGATCACAGTAATTTTAGCTGTCTGACAAACACATTTAAAGCATCCCTCGTAACATGAATTTGAATAAAAGAAATAACATGTTTTAAAAAGAAAGCACAAGATCAGAATGTAATTGATTTCAGTACTGTATTACTTGTGAGTTAACAATAAGATATCTTAACCCCGTGAAGCAAGGAATTCATGTAAATAACACTCAAAAATCAGCTGTTGCTTCAAAGAGAACATTGCATCACCATTACAATATGAGTTGGTTTGGTTAATGTTGTTTGGGGAAATAACTATTATTTATCCTGAGAATCATATGACGCCCATAAGTACACTGTTGGTAAAACACAGAGTTATGGAGTGTTGAAGTAAGTGGTACATACAGTTACCACCATGTCTTAAAGGGTTAGATGGAGATATACCTGCACCTTGTCGTGGTGGTGGGGCTTGAGTACCTCAGTGACCCCAAGAGCTATGCTGGCGGTAGCATGGCTACTGGTAGGGCCTCCCTAGCCAGATTGGTCGAGGGGGAGAGGTCAGACCAAGACAGGTACCCTGGTCCTCCAGGTTGGGGGTTGGTCGCAAGGCTAACAACCTTGCACCGTAAAAAGGAAGATGTTTTGAAACCTCGATCAAAGCCTCGGACAGACGGACCTAACAGAGGACCGAATGAAAGAGGAGAATTGAGGAGGCCATGGACCGAATACGGACCGGAGAGCCATAGAAGAAGAAGATGGAGATGTGGAAAGTAATAGGACGAATTTAGTTTCTTTCAAGTCTGGCAAAAGTTTCCTTTTCTGCAAAGGTCAAATTGGATCATACATATTCTGGTTGATCCCTGTCGTGACTTTTGCCTGCGCTCATACATCCAAATAGGCAAGATGTAATATACCCACAAATTTTATGAAATTGATAAGATGGTGTAGTAATCCAATGATACAATTATTATCTGAAATTACTTACACAGGGAGTGCAGCATTTTTATTTTTAAATATTTATTTCAGGTTAAAGCATCGCACATATGTGCCTGCGTGATTGACGACTGTCGTGATTCAGATGTCCCCCTTCTAGAGCTTTCTATGTCTCAGTTAATTCTGGAACAGGAAGTAAATGGAGGTGGCACAGTCAAATGCATCTTGGCCAGTGACTACTACAACCGCGTGTTGTCCGGTTGGGAGCCCTTCATAGAACCGTGGAAGTGAGTCGTAGTGACCAAGTATTAAGTAAGATATACATAACCTGCGAATGTTAGTTGATGTTGACTGCAAACAAAATGTTGGAGAAACACAAGGAAAGTAGGATACCAAGGCATAAGTAGAAGGGTAATATTAAAATGAATCTTACAGAGAAGGGAGATTATTCATACTGTAGGCAGTGAAAGCATGAACAGCGCATCGATCAGACTCAGACATGGCTGCATGTTGATGTGTATGCGATGCTTTGAGTTCTTATTTCATGTTAGGTGGATTAAGATATCCTGATGTATCTTTGGCTTTTAGATGTGATGTTACCTGGGAACACAGTTTGTCTACCGACTTATGTCGGAACCGGCTTCAGGTGCACATCTCTGCTGAGGATATTTTAAATGTCAACATAACGGATACTTTGGTGGATCTTTATAAGATGGTTAAGGACAACTGGACTCAAGATTACTACAATCTTACACCTCGTGAGCGGTGAGTGTCTTCTAAAATAATTACTCACCATCGTGACCGAGTAGTTGGTACTCTTTTTTATACCCAGGAAGTCCTGTGTTCAGATCTCAGTCCAGAATCTAGCTGTCCCGATTGAGATTTTCTGCTGTTTTCCTCAGTCCTTACAGGCAAATGCCAGATTAGTACCTTAAATTCAGTCATTACTGTTTCTTTCCGTATCTTTGTCAATTTGTTATTCACTAATAATTGTATCAATCTGTGCTGTATATTCAGGGCTACTGATAGCATTTTTCATCGTGTGTGAATTTATTTACAAAAATTAATTTCTCATATGTCCAAAGGCAATAACTTCAGGTGTGGTGTATTGAGGTAATGTAATAAGGGAAGGATAACTTTAGAGGGAAGGATAATTTAAGATAAATTAAGAGTGGATGTTATTCTGAACACAGCAAACATTACAATACAAATGACAGTATTGGTCTTTTGGGTTGTAACACCATGTGGACTTGTAGGTATATACCAACATTTTTAAGGAATATTGTGCCTCCATCTTTAGTGTTGAAGGCACTATGTGGACTGGTAGGTAGACACCAGTGTTTGGAGGAACGTTACACACATTTGAAAGGAATATTAATTTTTACAATTTTCTATCCTTGGTTGCTGATGGAAGAGGTGGAGGGACCAAACAGTTTAACTTCAGGACAGGTCGTTGATGGGGAAAAAGAAAATATGTTAATTGAAATTGTTGTTGCTACTGCTGTCGCTTAAGTGTTATTGCTGTGACATTAAGATCTGATTTTTGAATCATTCTTTTGTTTAGGTATGATAGTGGTGTCAGTAGGATAATCGGAAGCCCTCCGGGTTACAGACGGCGTTCTCCGTTTGTTCCCTTTGCAATACGCAATGACACAGCTTCAAGAATTTGGTTTACTACGCTTATCACATCACCAGACAGGTGAATATCACAGAACTTCTTTTATGATTGTAGAAAATTGATTTGTGTTACTTGCACATCATATAAATTGTGGAGTTTGTGTTGTCTTGTGTTCAGTTCTGTAAATACTAAAAGTGATAATACTAATATGTCTTGCAGAGTTTCTGATCCATTACAAGTGAAAGATTCTGCACTACATCAGGATGAATTATGGACATCTGTGGCTGCAGGTGATACAGTGCCATTTTCGTTTGAAGGCAGAGGTGATTATATGCCATTAACATTTATTTTAGGTGACATGAAAATGCAAGGAGATTTGCTGAAGTTTATCTGTGTGTGAGATTTGAGGTTGTCATTGTGTTGAAAATGCAGTTTTTGTCTTCTATGTAGACACAGGATTTGAAATTGTAGGTAATACTGCTTCCATCTTCAGGGCTGTATTTCTAAAGATATATAGCTCTTAATCTGTGGTAGAGGGCAGGTCTCTTTTCAGGTCTGTAGGCATGTAACATGCAAACAAATTGCTTCACTGAAAAAGTGGAACAAATCAGTGCAATAAAACTTTCTTACAGGTAAAATTTCAGTTCAATCACTTGATTGATCACTAGGAGTTCACTGTACAGTCACATTAACAAGTTATTATTACATTTTTTTATACAGTTATGTGTAAATAGAATATCGCTGTTTAAACAGCATTGTGTAATAATAAAATGAAAAGTTCTGTGTAACGCATCCCGAATACTCTGTGGCCGTGTGAACCTGAAAGGTCGTCCATGCCTGGTCTAGATGCAAGGAGCTACCCATCCATGCAAAAGGTTTTGGGTTTGAGACATCCCTTCACATAGGCTAAAAATTCCATGTCGTTTTAAATTTTATCTTTGCAGTGAAGGCTCGACACCGTGACACACACAAGCTACGTATCCATCAGATTGCTGTCCGAGTAGATGGCTGGAAATCTGTCGGTCCTGTGTCGGTGGACAAAGTGGGTGTCTACTTCAGGCAGGCCTTACCAGAACTCTACAGAGCAGTGAGTACAAGTTTTTAAGGAACAAAAAGGCGCAAGTTACGCCAGCTTGGAGTGCGCGGAGCATCCGAATCATTTGTTACGATATTGCATAACTCGTACAGATTTATATTTTACAGGGCTAATCAACAGAAATATATAACCACAAATAAAATTGATACAAATTTATTTGTCATTATTATGCATGAATTGCATGAAATGAATGTATACGGGGCTGAAAGTGTCTTGTCTGATTGCAAGATTGAAGCCGAGAAATTTTGGATGGATTTATATTAAATTTGACATGGACATTACACCATTGGAATGCTGCACAGCCTTTGATGTACTACAATATATGTGTAGATGATGCTTATGGTTAAGGTTTTGTGATATAGATTTAATTTGTTTTGTTTTTTTAATTTTATTTCAGCTCGCAGTGTTTAGAATTCAGAATTTTAAAAATTGCATGTGGAAACTCTGTGTATGGATTGCACCTTTCAAGTCTTGTAAATCTTGAAGGTTGAGACTAGCTCAACTAGGAAACCCAAGATGGTTGGCTTTTGTCCTCACTTTTTCCTCTCCTGGTCTACTGAAGACAGAAGCAGAACTGTCTTCTAAAATGTTGTGGTCTAAAACACTTAGATGATAGATAAAGTTTAACAGAATAATTATGTATGTTGTGTTGCACCATTATCAGAAACCTTTCAACTTTACTTGAAAATAATTGATTATAAAATTAATATGTTGTGACATAGATCACTACATCACTTTTTTCTCTCTCTTTTTTTGCAGAATCTCAATCTGCCTCACGGGAGAGTAGTATTTGAAGTTACGTTGGAGGGGTCGGCCCGGAAACTGGTGACAGTGCGGTCATCTCTCATTCTTAACAATCAGCTGTCAGAGACGGTGGAAGTTAAACTAGAAAATACGTGCATACATCCTGGAGGTAACAGTCATAAAATTGGAGGAAATGTAAAAGATCTGGACATTCCCATCTGTTTCTGACAGCAACTTTTTTTTTTTTGGGGGGGGGGTGTTTGAATATGACAGATTCATGTACCTTTTTTCTCAGGAACTGTTCATGCAGTAGCTACAAAAAATTTTAGGCTTGCAGATTGTGAACACATTGACATTTTCTCAAGTTGATAAAAGCATAAACATTATTTTACAAGGTTTGTCATTGGAATCAATACTTTTTCCACATATTTTTTCATGAGAATTCATAAAGCTCTTGTTTATTAATTGGAGATCTTAAAAAAAATTAATTTACTTCTTAGATACTATCCAAACGTATTGTAAAAGTTTCTTGGTCCCATGATGGGTTTCTGAGATAAATGCGCACTTGTCTGAAAAAGAGAAATTGGAAGAAATTTGTAAAGCTCAATTATCACTGCATTTAAATCAGCATTTTGAGCCTTTCGAGGTGATTCAGACACAAAATGACACCGCATTTTCATAAAGAAAACCAAAAATACTGGAACTAATGTAAACCACAGAATTTATTTTTTATCCCAGGTCATAAAATAACCCCTCTTTAATGAAAGCAGGCTTTTAAACACGTTACATCGAAGAGATCATGACTCCTATATCTATATCAGAATAATGCGTGCATTAGAGAAATGTTTGGGGACATTTAGTAATATCACACCATCACAAGCTTGTTTATACTAACATATAATGTTTATTTTGTGAGATTTTGAGGTTCTCGCTGAAACAGGTATGATGCGGCTTTGTATATCCACAAGGAAGTTTTTTTCTCAATTTCATTATGTTGGATTTTACTTCTGAAAATTACAGTTACTGCTCTGTATTTCATAATATGTGATCCTGTTCACATATGACGCAGCTGATTCCGCTGACAGAAGAGATGCTTTCCAGCGTTAAATAAATCATATACAGAAAGACATGCGTGTAGTGACATTTTGAATGTAGGTTTGTGTAACGTGTATCTTGGATGTTGTAGCATCGTATTTCATGGAGACCAAAAATTTTCTTTGCTGTTGCTAGATAAAAGGATGGAAGCTTTAATGTGTCTGATTCTGTATTTTCAGTTGATTCCTTTTCTTTCAATTATGGCTGTAATGCTCACTGCAGTTTTTTTTTACTTCGTAGTGACTGATGTCAAGTGCATAAAAGTTGCTCCGGGTGGAATATTGCCCATTCCGCTGTCGTACGTCATGTCACACTTGTGGGTGAGGCCTATTGATCGATCACAACCTCCTGGTCATGGCTATGTATTCTGCAATAAGCCTATCACGTGGAGTCATGTCTCTCGACCCGGTGAAACGGTGGAAGAACTACGAATGTGCATTAGCAGTAGGGTTCAGTGTTTCAGGTTAGTGTCTAAAATTTTTTTGTAATTATTTTCACCGCTTATGTTATATAAGACTGAATGCCGTATTGTGGAGACCAGCTCCCGATTTATGTTTTTGTGGTCTTTCGTTTGAATCTAGGCCCAGAGACAGGTTCTCATGGCCCAGGACTTTTGTGGGTTTTGTCAATCCTTCCATTCAAGTGCTAGGATACTATCTGTAATTGGCAATAATTTCTTCATTACATATTATTCAAGATTTGTAATGCATTATTATTCTGCCATATATCATTCAGTGCTACACAACCTCATCAGTTGATACCAGATAATTAGCCATCTACATCCTTTCCAGTTTAAATTTGTCATACCATTTAGTGTTATATGAATGATACAGTTAAATATATTAACAAAGACTTACAGATGTCTAGGTAGTAAAGTGATCCTTTGTTTTAGAACCGTGATGTTTCTGATGTTAACTTGCGATGGTTTCAGGTTCTGTGCTGCGATTCATCGCGAAAATTTTCCTTATGAACGGGTTTTATCAACATATAAATGGGTGCAGCCTGCCCACACAATCACCCTTCTGAGTCCTATCACAATTGTGAACCTGTTGCCATATGATCTGCATTTTGCTGTGAAAGATGCACCATCAAATTCCGCAGGCCGAATAAAACCTGGACAGTCTGCTTCACTTACACAGGTGTCACATTAATTCTTGTAATTTGAAGTTGAAGAATAATAAGTGTAGAAGTAATTTTTGTCTTAAGTAGTTGATTATTTATTCATTTTTAATGACTCAATGACCATGTATAACAGGTGGATATTAAAGAGGCTGTGGAACTCTGTTTTCATCTTGAGAATTTTCCCCGTGCGGGCACAATGGTAGTTCCAGTGGCACCGAGCACATTCAGTTCTTTGGTCAGGTTGCATGACATGCAAGGAAGGCGATTGTTCCTTACTGGCAATGTCGTGTATCACAGAGGAGCAGGTGTGAAGGTAAGGCACATATTTTTGCTTATCTATATCAATTACAGAAATTAAAAGTTCTGACACTACGTCATAACATTAGGAACTAGATATACAGAAGATGGCTCTCTTTCGGTTTGTAGTGCCATGTAGTCTTGTAGACGTTTACCAGTGTTTCAGAGGTGCTTTCTGCCACTATCACCAGGGCAAGCACACCTGAAATGTCGGTAAACTTCTACCAGAGTACATGGTGCAACAACCAGAAGACAGCCATTTACATACTTACAGCCGTGAGAATGTGAAATCAGTAGTTTCATCGAGCTTGTCATGATCTCATGGCATTTATTTTATTAAAAAAAGGTGGTACAATTTTCTTTGCTCTTCACTGCACATCCCTACATCATGGTAACCTAACCTAACCCAAAAACTGCTAATAAGACACTAATTTTATTGATGAAGGAAAGAATTTATCTTTATCTTCAATCTTTGTTTCCCATTCAGATACTGATAACGGCTCCATTCTGGATAATCAATAAAACGGGTATCCCTCTAGTGTTTCGGCAAGAGGGTGCACCAACAGAAACAGCGGCTGGTCAGTTTGAGGAACATGAAGTCGCTCGTATGGTTGCCCCACTTCTGTTCTCCTTCGCAGACTTTGAAGCCAGTACTACTGTGGTGGCTCGTGTTGGCAATGGGGTCCATCCAGAGGGAATATCACAAGTAAGCTTTATTATTTTTGAAGAAAATTGAGGTAAATTCACTGCTGTCCTGTAATTTCAAAATTTAGTAACAGGGGCTCTGTGTTTTGTAATCTTGAGAATATACAGAACTTCTCCCACCTCCATGTCCCACTTGCATATTTATTACAATGTGCTTAGGCATAAAGAAGACTTCACCTTTACAATATATTTAATTTTTTTGGAGGGGTTAAATTTTTTATCTTACTTCCACCATAATTAGATTAGGAAATAAACATTTGTTTTATTTCTTATCTTATTGCAGTGGTGTCAGCATTTTCATTTATACAAAGGTGTACAAGTGCGCCGTTTGCGCGTATCACTGCGCGACTCTCGCCCAGACATTATGTATGTGATCGGGATAAATGTTCGTGCGGGCAGAGGTCGATACAGATCAACTGATATTGTCACACTCTCACCTAGATTTCAGTTGCATAATAAATCTACGTACCAACTTCAATTTGCTCAGCGCTGCTTTGCTACAACTTTGGTAAGTTACCAGTGTAAGTCACATTTTCAGTGTAGAATAACTAAGTCACTCTAGTAATGTTTTCCAGAAATCCAACACTCTTAATACCAAAGCCTTCCGTTGGACACAAGCATGATCCAGTTTAATCCAACTGACACGATGAAGTTGCACTTGCTAAGCTCTATTTTAATATTATCCTCCCATCTCCTTGTTCATCCAAATACCTGCATTCCAAGGGGTTTCCCTACCAAAATTCTCTATACATTATTGTTTTTCTCCTCTGAGTTTCACATCTATCCTACCATAAAATCCTTCATTCTTTTATTGTATCAGCAATATGAGATATATTTATATAAGTTCCTTTTTCATGTAATATCCTCCACTTTTCATCTCTCATTTATCCAGATATTTTCCTTAGCACTTTGTCATCTTCCCAAACAGTAAGAGACTGTATCACAACCGTACAAAATAATTGGTAACACTATTTTTATGCATAGTGTAGTTTGGAAGATGTTATTAAGATTGATCTTAGGGAAATAGGGTTGAAAAGTGTAGATTGGATTCATCTGGCTTAATATGGGGACTGGTAGTGGGCTCTTGTGAACATTCCAATAGCTCTTTGGCATGCACACAAGCCAGGTTCTTCCTGCCGTGATATGAGCCATGAGTTGTATGACGGAATTGGTATTCTTGCGTATTTGAAATGGAGTTGTGTATTGTTATGCAAATAAATAATTTGGTGATCTGAATGTCATTGTTTTGTGTGTGTTTGATGACGCACTGAAAGGATTACTTTTGCGTGTTTTAGAATGATCCAGGAGCGCAAGCCACATACTTGAAAGCTGTTCCCTATTGCTGTTTACCATTCCACTGGCCCCGTCTTGACAAGGAACAGTTATTATGCGTGCGATTATTGGATGTGCCAAACTCTCTGTGGTCTGGAGGGTTTTTGATTGATACCAACGACTCTTTGAACATTAATGTTCGGTGAGAATGTTAGCACGCAAACCACACTGTAGTATTCGTCATTGGTCTGACACACTATTTTCACACCTTCCTATCCTTGTTACAGAGATGTTCAAGGCAGAATGCACTTCCTGAGAGTAGAAGTGGTTCTTGAGGCTGCGACGTATTTCATTGTGTTCACTGATGCCGATACAATTCCACCTACAATACGTCTTGACAACTACTCAGAAGTACCACTGCAGTTTCATCAGGTATATTTAAATCATGTGTTATCTACCGCTTGAAGCTTGTAGAATACTGTACATTTATACCACATTTGGTCTAGTATCCATTTACCAACATGCTCCATAAAGTGGGATTGAAAGTTGGTTAGCTGGTCCATTTGATGAACACAGTTTTAAATTTGACTGTAATATGGTGTCCCAAATTTTGAATCAGTTGCAACCAAGAACCTGAAATTATTATTATAACACACATTGTGTTGACATATGGTCCATGCAATAAATTTATTATACCCCTTCTGTTAATTCAGTTTTACTTTTTCTTAATGCAGAGCTGTGTAACAGCTGAGAGTCTGCTCTCAACAGTGCGCCCACACTCGTGCGTACCTTACGCATGGGATGAGCCAACTTTACCTCACTGCATCACCCTCCTAGCTCCGGGAGGAGCAACGGCCTCTTATGACATGAAGTCCTTAGGCGAGGATCGCGAGGCTCAAGGACTGACTTATGAAAATTTCATCTACATAGCTTTCACTGGAACATTCAAATCGTAGGTCTATTCCGCACTAACGCAATGACGATGGATTGAAATAAATGTAAGATAGGAAAATGTTGACTTTACAAGAGAAGAGATCATGCATGGGAGATATTAGTATTTTTACTAACATGATTAATCAAAACAATCTTGTAAAAGTATTTTGCGAGAAGTAGAAGATGATAATGACGCCTGATGATGTTTTTAGGGGTGGTACACAAGAAATGGGAGTAGCAGATACTTGCTACAACCCATTAGATGTGGAGACCCAGCAGTTAGTGCTAGACGTACCAGAGGGAACTAGAGTCATTCTAAACCGGAAGGAAACAGGAGCTCGTTCGCAGTTATGGAGAATGACGGGAGACGGGCAACTCCAGCATGAAGGCAGCAGCCCACCGAGAGACCCACGTTCAAAGCACAGTGTTCATAATGATGACAGAATATTGGTAAGTTACAAATATTTTTACTTCTGAACAGTTTTTGTAATGAAACAGTTTTTGGAAGCTAGAGTTGAGGGTACCAGAACAAGAGGAAGACCTAGAAAGAGCTACTTGGATACTATTGGAGAAATAGGACAGGCAAAGGGGAAAAGTTTAATGCAGATGAAATTCTTAGCAAGGGATAGGAAGGGATGGAGGAGGTGGACTGAGCAATCAACCCCGATGCTATAAAGGCAAAAAGGGAGATGAGAAAGAAGAAGAAGAACAGTTTTTGTTGTTCAAACATCTGCCATTTATAGCAAATAAAGTGAAGTACCTTTACACTGAGACTAGCCAGGTCTGAGATGAAGCCGCTAACTCTGTACTAGGTGTGTGATAATGTGATGCTTAGTCACAGTCATCACACACCTTGTGGTGTGGTGATAGATGAGTGTGGAGTGATGATGTGATGACAAATAGCAGAGGAAACTGCATAACTCGGAGAGAAACCTGTTCATTTCTGCTTTGCAAATTTCTTCTGCTCTAGAAGTTAGACTCCTAAATGGCTTGTTTGCCCTTGAAATTGTGATCTTTTCTGGTCTTTTGCTTTTACTAATAAATACAAATATTAAATTTTGTAGGAATCTGTATGCAAGAAATGGAAAGTTTTATAAATTACACATTTCATTTTCATGTAAAATTGTAGTCCGCATTTCGAACATGGGCTGGAATTAAGTTTTTGAAATGAAGTTCAGTGAGAATCATAAAAATATTTACAGTTGGTGTGCAGATTTTTATATGTATAAATAGTGGTAATCAGCAGTTTACTTCAAAGTCTAAGCAAGGTATCTGATGTATCTATAAAGTTACTCCTAGAGCTTGAAGTAATTGCCATGCTGTGCAGACATGTTTGAGTGAGATCCAGGTTTACAAATTCTTAACCTCTCAAATATGTTCAATAAATTTTGGAAAAATGCTTTCACTTTTACATACTTAACAGTTATTTAATGGTCAAAGTGACATTTCTTAATTCCTAAAAGTTTTTAAAATTTTTGAGGTAGGTACAGAATGCTTGAAGAATGGTACTAGAACAGAAATGAGTATAGTATTATTGAAAGTTTGAGACATTAATACCAGTAATATTTATGAAGATAATCACCAAAATATTATTTTCAGGTACTTGATATTGCTGGGCCTGCCCCGCAACCAACGCAGTACGTTAGTCTCGTTTTACGACGGCGCGATAAACGTCGCAAGTCTACGCAGACTTGGCATTTCACAGAAGATGGCCGTCTGTGTTGTGCGCACAACAACATGTGTGTCCAGGCAAAGGATGGTTTCTTTGGTTTGCACCAAGGTAAGCGTATCAGTCGCAGAAGTAGAAACATCTCGCTCTCCTATGAACGTAGTCAGTTTCTGGTGTAACTACAGTACTATTTGTTATCACCATCTTCCCTACTTAATATATATTGAGTTGTGCATTCAGTTCATAGTGTAATATGTGACTTAACGGTGCAAAAAACACTCACTAGCATTCAGTGTCAATATCAAAGGCTGAAGGAACTACTGTCTGGATTGTAAAATTTCTCGGGGAGTTCCTGTACTTTTATTCTGACAAATGGCAATGGTGACATCACGTACTGACACATTCTGTTCAGTGAATATTTCCATTTCTTACCACATAACCATTTACCTTGGTTGGGGTGTACGATGTAAAATTAGCATGTTAGTTACGTGTCAGAATTTTGTAACAGTTTTCAGAATGTTATATTTATGTTTTATGTTTGTAATCAGCTATTGTAGTTGCTTAAGTTGTGTGTCTAATAGCAGTTTCTTCGGGTTGCAAATAGATTAAATATTAATTATTTTGTTACTGGCTTGACATCAGAATAATAGTGAAAATAGTTTTGAGTTGATAGAGTAACAACAAATTTTAAAATTGCTAAATTCTCTTTCGCTGCATGCAGTGTGTGAAATTAATTCATAATAGAGAGACTTGTTCTTACTTCTGTTTGCATGTTTAATAAGACATTAAAGCTGTACTGCTACATGCCATGTAGGCACTTGAAGGGTGAGGATATACAGGTCCTACTCATTCTTAACCTTGGCACTAGATAGGGATGAGTGGTCAGCTTCATGTCCGATTGATAAGACATTAACACAAGATATCTGAAATTGGTGTATGAATCAATTTAATTTTAGTCTACTATTGCTGAAATGAAACTTTGTAAACGTCCCTAGAAAAATTGGTACAGGATGTGAAATATACGCAGTGTCATAGCTCAGGTGGCTGCCTACTTATCTGTCGTCACCCCACAAGGTGTGCGATAGTCCTGACCAAGCAGCACGTTATGATACCCTTGTTACTAAGTTAAGGGCTTCACCTTTGACCAGCACATCGCTAGTCTCGGAATATATGTAGTTTAGTCCTTTTATAATGTGATTAAAATATATAACTTTTATTGGAAAATATTATGATGTATATTAAAATATACAAGTCTTTATAGCAGCAGAATTTGTAATTATTATTCATTATAGTGTCTTAACTGTTGATTTACCTCTGTCAACACTTGATTGTTGTTCACAATGTAAAAGTATGAAGGTCAGTGCAAAAATCACAAAATCATTAATAATTATGTGCTGTTTGAAATGTAATTTTTCAATTTTTATTTCTGTAAATAAGAGGGGGGTCCACAGTGGCCACGCGGTCTGAGGCGTGGGCCTTGTGCCGCTCGCTCGCTGGGATCGTGGGTTCGAATCCCACTCAAGCCATGGATGTTTGTCCGCGTTTTTCTGCGTCGTGCTGTCCTGCGTACAGGTAGAGGCCTCGCGACGGGCCGATCCCTCGTCCAAGGAGTCCTACCGAAATGCGTATAGATCGAGCCAACGAAAAGGTGGGACCCACAGTGCTCGAGCACTTGAAGAACGGGTCGTTCCCAGTATCCCAGTAAATAAGAGGAAATTCAATTCAGTTGAGGAGACACGGTGATTTGCAGTATTTCATCACTACCGCCATTATTTCATTGGCCATATAAATTGTTTAAATTTATCCTTACATCTGACAATTAGGTATTTATTTCTTATTACATGCACTTGCAGGAGCTATTAGTGCATTATGGAATTACCATTATTATGTGGTGTAGCTAAAGGAAAATGGAATCTTATGTCTTAACTTTGCTGTATTAATAGCAGTATGTTGCTTGCGTTAATGTATTGTGTAATGGAACTGCTGTAATTGAAACTGTAGTGTGTAGTATTAGTAATATTATTTTTGTGTTATGAGTTATGCAGTGTTGCTATTTTCCAGGGGCAGCCATGTCTGGGGCCTCTTGGCAGCCGTGTACGTATTATTCTTTTTTTTTATGGACACACGAATGTTTGTTACATTTAGGTGGACGTTGGGTTGAAAATGAGTAATTTAGTTTCGCTTTTTTCGCTACTTTTACTTGTTATTGATTATGATTATTTTTGCACTGGCATGATCAGGCTGACCCTGCTTGGAAATTTAAATGTGTTGCAAAAGTGTCTTTTTAAGTAAACAAACATTTCAGTACTCTTACCCATTAATGAAATGACTTCTGGTTATACAACATAAAATGGAAGGAAAGAATCAAATTGCAAAGTATGCATGGTACACAAGTTCAAATTGCTAATCAATAACTATTATCATTTTCTTTTTGGTAATTCATGTCACTTTGTTGTCTTGTCTTCCCAAAATGTTTCCACTCCAAGTGCACTGTCTTACGACAAAGTGTCTTCATCTGTCTCTGTAGTCTCTCCCTTGCGATTCTCATATCACACGTTCCTAAAATGTGTCTGTACCATTTCATTTTGTTATTTGATAGTCTGCGTTACAAGGTGTTTAACTTAGTTTCTCTCCATTTTTTGTTTGTTATCCTGTTTCTTAGTTTTTCTTCCATACATCTTAAAAGTCACATCTCTTGTGCCATTAATCTACCTGGTCTGTGTCAAAGATTCTGCTTCGTGTTTTATTATTGACCTTTACGTTTGTCGATGTTGGTCTTCTGGGTTTTCATGCCATGTGGACTTCTTCGTAGATGCCAGTGTTTTGTAGGAGCATACTGCCTTTATCTTCAGGGATGAAACTGACCACTCTTTTCTAGTAAGTGCTGACATGAAACTATGTTGAGCTGCGTCTTCTGTCCGTGTGTTCATTTCGGTCACATGGTGTGGGACAGCATTGCCTTTTTATTTGCTTTAAAAGGAAAAGTTTGGGTGTTTTTAGTCGCTGTAAAACTACCATCTGGAACAATCGTTGATATGTTGCAGTGTTGACTATGCATTGTGTCTCATGATATAGGGAAGCGTTTTTTTTAATTGTGTTGTGCAGTGGAACTTATAATTTTCCTATGAATGAGTTTAATTTTCATTGGTAAATTAAATTAATATTTGCTATGAGAAATACATGTGTTAAGCTTGTCGCATAGCTTGCTGTGACATTGTTATTGCATTGCTTTGCTTTGCGTATGCACATAACTAATCCCGATATGATATTAGAATGAGTTATTTTTTATGTGCTGGTATTATATTTTTAAATACTGTAGCTTCATAAAACTGGTTATTTAATCATAATTTTTCTTAACTTTTCCCTTTTCTGTTCTTATGTATATTAACATCCATAACCCCTTCCAGTAATCACTTGAATGAATACCAGTAGTTTTTTTATATATATATATATGTTCATTTCTTTGAGAAGGGCATATTTGTAGATGATAAATTTTTCTTCTTGCAGGGAGTGAGGCAGTGTTGGGCCCACCTCAGCCTGTGTGCCACCAACTGACACACACAGGTGTTCCACTTGAGCAGGCTGTCAGCAGACAGAGGCTTCGACCCGGATCAGGCTTTCTGGCTGTGAAGATAATCACAGATGGTCCAACCTCTGTTCTCCACATTTCTGACATTAAAGAGAAGGTTTGTTTCGTGTAAGAGCACGTGCAGGCAGGAGGAGTAGGAGGAAGAAAAGATGAGAAACAAATAAATTTGGGTTGGAAGGAGGAGATATAAATTGAAGGATAATATTAAAAGTGGATCATAGAGAAGCAGGGTTAAGACTGACTGTGCCGGAATTGTTACACAGTGAATGTATTTGTTAACTTGTCTTTTACACATTGTGAACATAAAGTTTAAAGTAGTGTTTATATTTATCAAATATACTTGATTTCCTGAGTAACTGATTTATTTTCTTGATCTGTTATTCTGTTCATATTTTGTTATGAGAGATGCATTATTTTTTATTTATATTGCTATATTTCATATGTTGGCTTTTAAACAATTTCTGTGTCTCTTAGCGTGAGACAGTCCAAATTCTCTTCTTACTCTCGTACAAGGAGTTAGTGTACTAATTGCAAGCGGGAGAGAAAATTTGATGATATTCTGTGCCCCCCCCCCCCCCCCCATACTGGACCATATTCTGAGTCATTAAAATTTAGTCCACTCCTTCACATCCTAATTCTTTAAGATTCATTTTAATATTATCCTCCTGTCTATGCTTGGGTCTCCAAAGTTCTCTCTTCCAATCCGGTTGTCTGAATAACAATTTGTCAACTTCCCATACATGCTACATGTCATGCCCATCTGGAGTTGATCATCTTGATAATAATCTAAGAAGAGTACAGAAGCTGATCTTTGTGCTATGTTGTTGAACCTCCTGTTACACTTCCTGTCATAGGTCCAGATATTCTCACCAGCGTTTTGTTCTCGAATGTCATTAATCTGTGTTCTTCCATTAGGACGAGAGGCTAAGATACACACCCATACAAAATGACAGGTAAAAAAATTATATTTCTGTCTAATTCCTGTATAGTATTAGATACTAAATTCTGTATTCCAGCAAACATACTTGATGAAGGACGACAGAGACTGGACGTATGTTTCAATGTCTCGGCTGCCAGCAATACTTCATTCGGGATCTGCAAGAGGTCTACCACCTGACACTCGCGAGCTACAGGTAACGAGAGTAAAGAATGCGTGGATGTCATTATTTACTACTTGGGTATGAATCTTTTTACCTTGAAGATGACTGTCTTCTGGTAGAAGTTTACCAACATTACAGAGGTGCTTGCTTCCTCCATCATCAGGGCAATAAGGCAGCAAGCACTGTACTACACATCGTCCTGATGACAGAGGCAGTATGACCTCAGAAACGTTGGTAAACATCGACCAGACTACACAGTGCAATGACCCAGAAGACAGAAATCTTCAAATAAATACTAAAATGGATATGGTTTTTATTCTTTTAAAACGTGAAAGTTATTCAAAGGTTTTTGGTGCCAGTAGATTTAAAAATGGGGTTTGAGTCCAAAATAAATGTATCGAAGTTCTGTTGCTTCATTATAAACATCTGTTCCTGCTATGTAATGTCATCGGTTGATCTAGGTGAAGCTGGACTTGCCTGGAGGACTTGGCGTAAGTCTGATATCTTCTCGGCCTGCTGAAGAACTTATGTTTGCTCAACTTACTGGAATCAACATGGAGCTGGAGTCAACTGGATCACAACAGAAGCTGAATCTTCTAGTAAAGGATATCCAGTGTGATAACCAGCTGTTTGAAGCTCAGTGCCCTGTGGTCATGTATGTCACACCACCATCAGCGAGGAGTAAAGATACTGAGGCGCAGCGAACCTTGCCAGTGATCAGAATTACTGCTGAGAGGGTCCCAAGCCTTAATTCTAATGTTGCAACATACAAGGTACTTGAGGAAAGTGGCATGAAATGGTTACCGATTTTCCAAGACACTCTTACTCCATCCATGTAAATGTTCTCTGAAATTACTGGGTTTTTTTATAGTCCGGAGGTACGGCAGTTTTTATCCCTGAAAATTTCTGTCTGAAATCTGAGTGTGTCTCATATTTATTTGAATAGCAAAGACAGTTTTTCAGAAAACCTTGTCACGTCATATTTCTCAAAAACTGCCTAACGTACAAAACAAATTTTCAGGGTAAAATAGAAATCTTATTAAGGCCAACAACTTCAGTTTTTAAAAAAAATTATATTAAAACTGTTAAATAAAATACAAGGAAAATTATTTCTGATTATAGTGGGATAGCTTTTCAACTCTAATATGTATCATATACCATAACTGAATGGACTCTTAGCATTTATTTCTTCAGCCAATTTTATGAGTTAGCAGAAGAAAATAAATAGTAATTGGTTTTGATGACTGAAGTAAGTTTTGTTCAAAAGATATTAAAGTTAGTGTAATTCAGTGTATGTATGATATTAATTAATACTTAAATATTATGTTGTTTGAAAGGTAATAGGAAACTTAACTGAAAGGTTAATCATTTTGAAGTTTCTATTTAAAATGGAATAATATTTGTGTATATAGAGTGGAGGCAAGAAGCACCTCTGGAACATAAGTCGGCGAAATATCCCAAAAGACAGCTGTCTTCATACTCGTAACTGTGAGAACCTGAAATCTTATGGTGTCTCCTCTTTTTTTTCCCCATTCTTGTTAAAACTTGTTCCTGCTTTCAGCATCTGATTGTAACGGTGAAGAACCTGTCTATCACCATTGAAGAAAGACTTCTGCTAAAGCTGTTTTTATTTGCCGGGTATAGCCATCTCGGCCCTGACCAAGAAGATGCTGAGGAGAGTGACTTTGAAGTTCAGCGAATTTTAACTGAAGTGACCTCAGTTCATGCAAAAAAATATTATTTTGGATTGCTGAAGCTTGAACCAGGTCATGTATGTATCACTTCTTTACAAATAATGCTTACTGCTTTTTCTGCCAATAATTATCTTAATGCAGTTTATCGTCGTATTCTCGGTCGACAACGCATCTTCACTGTGGTAACCACGGGTACCATTTGGTTGTTTCTGATGAGATATCTCATATACCATTTCTGGCTTCGTGTGGTTTCAGTGAAATATCTCACGGATGTATGGTCTCTCAAATGTAAAACTGCGAAATATTATATGAAATTTAAAGAAGTGTTAACAGTTTTGGTGATCTCAGGGAAACATCTAAAATATCCCTGGTGAAATGCCAAAGGTCTAGATGCCAGTTGAAACCCCTCGGCTAATCAGCTGTGGCCAAAGAAACCGACACACACATTTTAAATTGAAGAACAAATGCTGCTATGAAATGTATACGTGTTTTGATTCGTCAGAGTTGTGCTGTGATCTAGGAAATAATTTGACGGCGTCTGTTGGTTAAATATTTTAGTGAGTAGTTAAACCACCGTGTACTGTCATTGGAGATCGGACAATTCGCTAGTTTCAATGACAGTTGCTGTAAATATCAGTGAAATTGTTTGTGTGTGCAATTCTTTTTTTCAGACTTTACATATATTTGTCTTAATCTGGAATTTTGGAAATGCCAATTCTTACATGTTTTTTTATTATTTTGCGCACAGGTGACCTCAGATATTTTGTAATACATTGTATAGAAAAGTATACATTAATTTTTAATGTATGTAGAATTTTAAGTGCTTGGAAGTGGACACAGTTTTATTGCATTTTTAGGTAAAACTTAGTGTCGTGACATCCAGCAAGTTACCCTTACAGCTGCATTCTATCAAGAGAAAACTCGGTCTCACGCTCATCAAGTTTGAGGATGCCTCAGTTGATCTCAAACCATTTGTTAAGAATCACTCGTTTGAAAGCAGTAAATTCTTTCTGCATTCGATTCTAAAGCATTACAAAGATGTAAGTAGCAAAGGCGCATGTGTAATTAACATTATTAATTGTTTTGAGTTTGATGATGTTCATTTGGAAATAAAATTGTCACAATTCTCTTGTAAATTCTGTTTTGAAAATTGAATGTGCTTAGAAAGGAATCATTGTAGAGAAATGAAATGGAAGTTTCTATCATAAATTATTACTATGTGGAACAATTTATGTATTTAACTTCGATGTTAATTTTATATGGCTAAATTTTAAAAAAATTCTTTTTGTAAACCATTTAATAAATTTCCCTCATTGGCTTCTGAACTGTCCATTTTCTTTTGTAGGAACTTAAATGGCAAGCAGCTAGTATCTTGGGGTCTGTGGACTTCCTTGGAAGTCCTTTGGGCTTTGTTAATGATGTGACTGAGGGAGTGTCTGGGTTACTCTTTGAAGGGAACGTCCAGGCCTTGGTCCAGAACGTAACTCACGGCCTCTCGAACTCGGCAGCTAAAGTAACAGGTACGACAAAATTAGTGAGTGGTTTTTTTACGAATGTGCATGGAATTGTTGAGAAAGCTGGTTTTACTTTATGCTCTTGCGTTGACATTCAAATATTAAATAGTGTTTTCCATTTTGCGTACACAACAGAATCCTTGTCAGATGGCCTTGGTTGCGTTATAATGGATGAGGAACATGAAGAAACCAGGCAGCGGATCCGCAAAGTCCAGACCGGGAGCAGCAGTGATCACATTGTGGCAGGACTCAAAGGTTTAGGCTTCGGTTTGCTAGGTGGGGCCACCAGCGTCTTTAAACAGACCTATGAGGGCGCTTCCAGGGAGGGCTTTCAGGCAAGTTATTAAGTATTTATATTGAACGTTACACCCATGACAGTCAGAGGCCAAAACATGTTGGTTTCTTTTATAAGAGTAAGGTATAATTTTGTTATGCAATAAAACCATACATAAACTTGTATTGTGGAATCCTGTTGTGCGTTATGTCTTGGTCACAGAAAACCAAGACACTGGACCAGTAACAAAAATTAAGTGCAACAAAGACGCAATGTAGATAAACTTAACATGACAGCATAATCAAAGGTACCAGCATTCAGAAAGAATTATTCGTGATGAATTTGTAAGTGCCTTATTGGCATTTAATTTTTAGTAATTTTTTTAATATTAGAATTGTATTTGCCATCGTAAAGGAAGGTGCGCCACCTTATGTGAACACAGTGATGTTACTGAACGTGATGATATAGCAGTTGACACATGTTCAAGAAATTGAGATTCCATTGAAACAGTGAAGTAAATAATGTCACTGGTTAAGATGTGTAAAAGTGATGGTATACTTTTGTTAATGCAATAAAAACAAACAGTTATATCTATGTAGATGCAATTTTTACATGTGTTTCTTTCTAGGGTGTCATTTCTGGTTTTGGTAAGGGGCTGGTTGGCATGGTAACAAAGCCTGTAGTTGGTATCCTGGACCTTGCCTCGGAAGCGGCAAGTGCTGTCAGGGATTCCAGCCGAAGGTAAATTACATTAAAATAAACCTTTACTACCAGAGTCATAAGGTTCTCAGCATGGTCTGTTGGGATTTGTACAGTAGATGAGGCTGTTACGGAAGTAGACAAACTGTAGATGTCAGAATAATAAGAATGTGTTTTGATATTAAAAATTAAATCCGTAGCGTAACGGCTACAGAGAGCCAAAGCCGACTAGCTTGACTGCTGGCCTCACGTTCACATGCCTAAGCAGAGGTGAACGATCATCCAACCAGATATAGGGTGACGTGGGGTCAGCACGATGAACCCCCAGCCATCGCTAGCTTTCCTGACCGGATTACGCTACTCATTGTAGCTCCCCATTTTCCTCACGATGCTGGGTTGGCACCGGTCCCATACACTGGTCTAAAGCTCATGACAAAAATTTCTTCTCCCCCGAGAGTGTTTTGATATTACTCGGCTATAATTGTCTGTACAGTTTTGTCAAGTTGTATCTTTTATTTCAGTTCTAGGCGGGTGGGACCAGGACGGCTCCGTGCGCCCCGCTGCGTGACTGGCCCGGCCGGACTACTGCCTCAGTATACCAAGCAGCAAAGTCAAGGCCAAGAATTTCTCTACAGTATCAACAAGCAAAATTATTCTGAATTGTAAGTCACTGTGAAATTAGCTATGTTCAGTGAATGTAGTGTTCAAAACTTCCCACAAAATGGTGGTTTAGATTTTGATGTATCCTGTACACACGGATGTATTGAATTTTGATGCAGAAGTATTTAACTCCTCTCGCCGTAACTTGAAAATTAATCGATATGGCAGTTCAGTGAGGCTTTGCCATCTTCATGTTGATGTTACACCATACTATATTAGGCAATAAGAACTTGCTGTATATTGTGTTACGGAAAACCCTTTTAGTGTACAAATACCATGCAGAACCTTGAATATAAAGATGTAACATGAATTATGTATCTTTCATTATAGGTTCATGGCATACGAGTGCCTCCGGATGGGAGCAGACGACTTGCGTATACTAGTCTCTACTGAGATGGTACGAGTCTTCTCCGTTGGTGCTTCTGGAACATGCACCATCGTTATCGAAACACACCTCAGGTACGTGATAACTTGACTTTCCATTACTTTTAAGAATTTAAAATATAAAGATTTTAGTGCAATCTATAAGAAATCTAATCAGCCTGTACTTGAAATAACCATGTTATGTAAGTCAGAAATATTTTACTGCACATTTCTAGACAGTCGTAATGTATACAATATTCTTTACATACAAACATTTGTCATTCCAATGGTAATTTATAATTGGATCACAGGTTAATATAATTTTCAAATTGATGTTAAGAATTATTTCAAATCTGTCTTGTGATTTTGAAGATGTTATCTGCCTTACAGTGTGTTATTAATGTTGGCACTAGACGGGCATGAATTCAGCTTTATACGCTGCCTTCCTTTATTCTTGAACAGATTGGTAAATGAATCTGAAATGTATTCTGGGCGTGTTAATGAGGCAAGGAAATCCTGGTTGTCATCTCCACAGCACACTAGCTTACCATCTTATTGTGTTTCTTAACTTAATATTGAAGACGTTTACAGTGATTTACACCATTGTCAGCCAACAAGTAGGCCAAATGATGAACCCCGAGGCTCCAATTCAACTGATGAAGTCCTCCATTACATTGAACTAACAATGCGAGTGGATACTCTTGGCGTAGAATCCATAAGGAGGCCATTGGTTCGCTGTGACAGTGAGGCCGTCGCTAAGTGGGTATGTACTTAACTTAATCCCATGTCCAGCTTGGATTTGCACAACTGGCTTTGGATTATGCTTAGAAATTAAGATGGCTTCTTCTGGGATGTTTCACCATGTGGTGTGGTATGTATTGACATGTTCCACAGATGCATACTGCCTCCATCACCAAGGTGATGGACCTCTGAAACATCGGTTCGCGTCTAACAGACTGCATGCCTCAACATCCCAAAAGAGAGCCATCTTCATACTCATCGCCATGAGAACCTCGAATCTCACCGTGCTCAGAAATGTTGGCAACACTTCTTAACAAATGAAAATGCTGGTTATTTACTCAGACTTTGCACATTGTATGTAATCTGCTGTGTGATTGGCTCTGTAGCAATAGATGTGTGCGTGGCATTCAAGTAGCAGACGACATAGTCGGAAGATTTATACGACATTAGTCTCTACTCGTCCGCTCGTGTTTAAACTCGTGTTTCACTCGTACAGGTTTCACAGCAAGTGAATTATGCAAAAAGCATGTTTGAAGAGAGGAGGTACACTGTCATATCAACTGGTGACAGTATCTTAGAAGACTGAATACTTAGATTCCATGATGCTGTGATAGTAGAGGTATGTATCAAGCTGATAGTATTTACAATCATATCCTGTTTCTTTATGATGCATTTTATTTTTATCTATGTCCAGGTCTTACAATTGGTCTCTTCCTTTCAGGCTTTCCAAACATAATTTTTGTGTGCATTTATTTTGCCATTCTTCATTATGTGGTGTGACAGAATGAATCATTTGCACATATTTGGAAATCACCTTTTTTACCAATATATAGATATATCTTAATTATATATATTTGTATTTAAGGATTAAAACTTCAGGATAATCTTCACTTTCTGTTATATTTGCTAAATTGATGTTATGCGGGTGTAATTAACCTTGATTTTGAAAAATCTCTACATTAATTGCCACTGTACCAGATACTTTCTGGAGATGTCTAGTATGGTGGCTTATGGAATTGCAACACTGTGTAGATAAAGGCAAAGAAAATTTCTTCCAGTACATCGTGTTAGAACCCGGAAAACTAAATACAGGCGAATTACCCCCCAAAAAATAAATTATATTCTAAGTTTTATCAGCGTGAATCTAACACCAAAAATCAAGTTTTCACGGCACAAATAATATGAATGTATTTCAGGTTGGCAAGTAAAAACATTAAATGGATATTATTTTGAATGAAAGTGCTGCAGGTTATAAAATATAATTTTCATATCCAAGAGTTACACTTTTAAATGAAGTCGGTTTGGTTAGAATATCTGTCTTTATGTTTAAGTAATCCTAAAGGATATAGGTTTATAATTTTCGAGACTCCAGACTATGTCCGATGACAGTTTATCGATTGTGAATATCACTTAGACCTTTATGTTCCGATTCTGTTCCAGTCTGTACGTATGCTGCTGTTTCTAACAGAGGAATCTTGACAGCTATTATAAATATTTGGTTAAATCTAAATGTCTGTGCAATCCTGTTATTTCATCTATAAAATTGTTTGTAAGTTCTAAATATTTACAAAGAGTTGAAACCTATCAGCGTGTAACTTTACCAACAAAATCCCAAAGAAGCGTTAAGAAGACTGATCAGACACAAAGATATATCATGTACAGGAAATGTTGAAAAAATTAGCCAAATAAATTCATCTTTTAAAATGTGTTTGTTCATGTATTAAAATGCTTAATTTCTCTTACCCATTTACAGTTTTACTGTGGATATAGAAATAGCTCTATAAATCTATTTGGATCAGAATGCTGAACTGTGAAGAGACTTGTCATCACCCAGAAAGCAGAATATCAGTTACTGCTCAGTCTGCGATGTACGGAATAATTGCTGATATCTGATGATAATGGAGGATATGAGCATCTCAATAAGATAGCTGGAGAGAGATGATAATTTCCTGTGTTCGAAAAACATTGCGTGGGTATGACGAATTCGATGAAGGTACCGACTAGTCAGTTCTCACTTTACGAAGACCAGCATTACAAAGTTTCACTCATAGAACTTTTATAACATGGTGCACTCTCTCCTCTTGGATTGTCATTTTAATGCAAACTTGTTCATCTGAACACACGCGGATTAAGACACAAACAAAGGATGCAGTGTTGTTCAGTCGGTCAGTGAAAGCAGGGAAGTTTTTCAAGTTTGAGTCAGTTTGCCTTGCATTCAGCTTCAGTGTGCATCTTGTTAAAGATTTTACTGTATTTTTGTAGCATATGTAATAATCTAATATGTCCTGTAGCACGTTTATTTCAATTCAGACATCGATGATTTTTTAGTCATTCAGGAATTGATTTCTATAATTTTTCGGCCATTTGGGATTGTAACCGATTACAATATCGTGCTTGTGGGGAAGTGACTCACTTTATAAATTGTCTGCAGGAACATAACTATTCACTTCAGTGGGTATCTGTATAATTATATTTTAAAATGAGAACAATTTTAATAATCTCTAAAGTAGAGTCTTAAGAAATATACTATTCAGAGATAATGTATAATTAAAGATAAAATTGTCCATTAAATGGGAAGATTAGTGATAAGTGGAAGTGATATGGAAGAAATTCTCAGAAAACAAAGAAACGCAGAAAAATGTTAACAATCAGTGAGATATATAATTCCAGATATGGGAAATGCCAAAGAAGAGTACATTAACAAATTTTCTTATTTACGCGTTTGTCCTATGCTGCATGTAGGTGGTGTAAAAATGTTACCAAGCTGAGGGGTTGGAAGTGTTTATGAATGAAGCATTCGCTTCAGGAGAAAGTTGCATCATTATATTAAATTCAATTTAAATGAGATTTTATTGGAAATTAAAGCAGAATATGTCGTGTCTGTTTCATTCAGTGATAAATGATTTGCTACAGTAACTTTAGCCCTAAAGTAAAATAAAAAAATTTCAGTTTATATTAAAATGTACTTTAGCATATCTCAGGTACAATACTTGAATCAGAGGGGTCCATTTTTAAAAGCACATAAAAAGTAGAATAAATTCATACATCAGTGATTTCAGAGTCACCACTCCAAATTCATACTGTCTTTGCTCCACTTGTAAATACCACCACGTTTATGGAACATAGTCTCATCAAAGCCAGACTTGTGCAATGCATTTTTCACGCCGACGTCCAAGATGGAGAAAGAAGGCTTTTTTGCTCCATCCTGACAATTCAAGAACCTCATCTGCAACAGAAGTTCATGGTTACTGAATCACTATAATTCATAGAAATTACAGGTGAATCCATACGTGCACATCTACCCACGTACAATTTCAGTTTAAAATATAAGATTTGAAGCTTTCAGTTTGCCTCATTCAACTTCATTTCAGTACTTATAATTTTCCACCTTTATGAATGTGTAATGCCTTTGAATATTAAGAAAGAAAGACCACCGATAGTACTGTTGTTATGACATTTTACTGTCCATTCTTTGGTCTGTATCAGCACAAAATCACATTTGATACTTACGTACTCATCTAGAATTAGGTAGCTGTTCTGCATCTGAAATAAAAATAGCAACTTTATTTTCTGTCCTATATATAACAAAATGTTTGTAAATTACTTGGATTTGTTGTAACATTCTTCTGTTAGTAGTGGGACTTGCTGACATGATGCGTTTAGGCATAGGGAAAAATTACTTTTCTTCTTATTGGTCAGCTGTTTACACCATTTGTTTTAGGAACCTGCAGACAGACCAAAAAGATGGGAGGATAACATCAAGATGGATCTTAGGGAGGATGGGAAATGGATGGAGTTGACTCAGGATCGTGGCCGGTGGCAGGCTTTGGCATTGTCGGTGTTGAACCTGCGGGTTCTGTTACCATGGAGTTAGTTAGTTATCAGTGGGAACGTTTTGGTCTAAAATTTATATGACTCGAGGGGAAAATATAATTTGAAAGGTAAGAGGGCCCTCCATTTTTCCTCATACTGGAATCTGACTGTTCGTTGCAGTTTTTCTCTGTTCCTCCGTGCAAATGTTGGAACAGGGCAGTAGGCACGAATAATCATGTTGAAGCACCTCTAAATCCATTATTAACAGTAGGTCATGACTGCTTCTATGTAAACGCTTCTTAATTCATCTTATAAAGTTTAGCACGTTAAACGTGATAACCTGTGCAGGAGAGAAAGGACAGGTATTTAAACTGAGAAACCATCTAGCACAAAGTGAACTCTTGAGATTTCAGATAATAGGTCAGCGGTGAGAAAGTAAATTTTTATAAATCACGATATGAATTTTTAGAGACCATTATATAAGGTAGAATATATATATTTCAACACATACCTTCACATTGGATTCTGGTACAAGGGACGGGATATTTTTGTGTCGTTCCACGAAACCTTGGAACTGTTTATCAGTCACACAAAATTTCTCAGCGTTTCGCAGAGCCTCGGCACCTACGTTCTCTCCTTCCAGAAGCAAGCACTGGAAAACCTGGAAGAAGGAATAAAGAAAATAATCTACTTCTAATATAACAGCCAGTGTCCATGCTCATGCTTATATAATTATTGGTAATGCTGTTAAGGGATTCTCTTCCTTATGCCTTATATTAAAAACCGTGAAACCATAAAATTACAAGTTCCTAACAATTGCTGTGGGGGAAAAAAAACCGTGTTCGCGCACATACACGGGCACATGCATGCTTATATTTGGGAGGTCCCTGGTTCATTTCTTGACCCAAGCTTTTTACAGTCACTTCCACTGCTCCATGAATTCAGAAATCCAAAAAATGTTCCTTTCCTGCATACCAACAAGTTACATAAAAGTGACATATTTTATTAATTACCTTGTCTTTTTTGTAGCATTCATCACGTATTTATCTGTTTTATACACAGTCTTTATGTTTTAAGTAATTTTCATATTTTCTGCCTCATATTTGTTCCCACCCTCACATTTAGTAGAATACTCTATTTGCATGTGTAGAATACCAACATTTCAACATTGTTTCATATGTTACCTTCCATCGGACCGGATTTAGATGGAGAATCTGCTCAGCCATATCCTCGTCAATGTTGTACGTGTTCACAACAGTGTTAATTTTAAAGGCCACTTTGTATTCATGGCACCAACTGCAAATTTTCATCAGCTTGTCCACATGATTTCTATTCCCTTGGCCTCGCCCAATTGCCTTATTTGTTGCTTCGTCAAATGAGTCGCACGAAATGGCGAGAATGTCAAGATATTGACCTGCAATCAACCACTATCAGTAACATATTATATAGATTGATGAAAGACTCTCGGGTTACAATCCACCTGATGCGGCTTGTAACCCGAGAGCATTTCATCAACTTCAGTCGCCGCGAAAGCTTCGCTTTATATGTATTATATAGATGTTTCTCAAGAGTTATGGATGAGTGCCTGTGTTCAATGTTCAACTCCAAAATAATAACAAAATATGGAACAGTTAGTTTCATTGCGGGTTTTTGCCATCATGTCTCTCATTAAAATTTCAAGTTCACAGTCTTAACTGTGTGACAAATGAATTTTTCAAAATACAAAACTATCATTTAACCTTGTTTTGTATGGGTTTGAAACATTGTCTGTTATGTTAAGGGAAGAAAACTGATTGACGGTGTTTTAGGGTAGGGTACAGGAGAGAAATTGGGGCCTGAGAGACATAAAAGGTGCAACACTTTACTATCTGAGTGACTGTCAGCTTCTCAAGAAGGACTCTGCTCCATGGAGTTACAGTAAAATGAAATTTAAGGATAAGAAAAATTCTTCGTAAGAAGCCGACAGTCATGCAGATGGTAAATTCCTGCCTTTTGTGACTACATAATGTTGATAATTGTTATCACCAAGGCCTACACAAATTTTCTGGAAATTTAGGAGTCGCCTCCAAAACCTAGGAGTCTCATCTACCAGACCAGGAAATAATATTTTTGGAAAGTCTGTTATGAAATGAAATAAAACATTGTTTGCAGAGATAAAACCAAAAAAGTGTCATACAGTAATATGCAAAGGTACAAAACCATCAGAACAATATGCAGAAATTTCTCGAGACTATTATGATGACGGATGCTGCGGCAACTTGGCATCTGGGATTTATACAAGGCTGGCTCTGAGAGTAAGAAGCATTAACCTACCATAATGTCGGAACCATTGTTCTCTGATGAGACTTCCATTGCTGACAACTGTTACACTTGGCAGCGCAAGCACCTCTTTGCAGTAGTGAACAAGCTGCCCCAAGTAATTTCCTCTGTTGGGTAGAAATGGCTCTCCTCCAGAAAAGTTCACTTTTTCCATTCCTATAATGAATTATATTTTATTTCTTATCTCCACTTTTCATGTTTAATTTCAAAAGATAAATATGCAGTTTTAACTACTTGTACCATAATCAGTGAAACTCCTAAATTGACCATAGGGTGTCCCAAAAAAAAGTATATTTATGAAACAAAGTATTACTGTTTATACATATGAATTTTTTGAAGCAATTTTTTAGTTCTCACCTGCATCTCTCAAGAGTTGTAGCCCCTTTTTGGCCTCTTCTATTGGAAGAACAAATGACGTTTTCGCTGTATGGAAACAAAACCCGCACTCATAATTACACTGCCTAGTGAAATGATAATTTACGCTTCGAGGTATTATAAAATTCCTTTTCCCAAAGTTCTTAGACACTGCCAAACATTTTTTCTTGAGTAAAAGAGCCAAACAGACCCTATGTATATTCTTGACAAATACAGCATAATACAGCCATGAAAAAATATTAATAACACTACTTATCCATTTGGAAAACAGCATTTTAAAATCAATTCTTTTGTAAGCATAAATACCAGTTAGAAAGAATATGCCGTTCTACGCACCTCTAGAATTCTCCCACTGTACAATACGGAAAAAATTACATATTTATAGATTGCGATCACGTGACGCGAAAAACAGGTAGGGGAATCCCGATACAAGCAATTTGTGCTATAGATTATGGCCTTTAATTCAGGTACTGCGTGTCGGAGAAAATATGTAACATTAAGTATGACGCAATTGACCCAAACTGTTCTGTTTGTAGCATTTAAGGTTCTCACGGCGGTGGAAAATTTGTTACGACCCCCAGTTTAAAAATTTGTGTTTGCTTTGATGGCGCTGCTTCTTGGTAAAATCAGGCAAGAACCAAGACTGTGGTGAATGACGAAGTTTTTAAATAATTAATTCCCTTTTACGTTTCATAATTACAATACATTAATTCTCTGCTGTTTTAAATCCTCCTTCTTTGTTTTCTTTCTAACATTGCTGGCATGCAATATCCATAAACCGAACTTGAAGGTCAACTGATAAGTCAGTTTAAGTCTGTTGTCTACATAATCAGACTATCTGACTAATCAATATTCTCTAATCAATGTAACAAAACGATTCACAATTAATGCTAGTAATGCAGAAATTAAAATTGTGGGCACTGATAACAAGGTGACTAATGTCATTACTGATACAAAAAGACATTGTGTTGCGTGTGTTGAATTGTCATAAAGCATTTGATGACTCATCCCTGATTTCTTGTCACGTAACACACACCGTAGACTATGTATTTCGTCTGCCATCAAAAATTTAAAATGACACATTCCTTTCAAAGACATTTCGCTTCCTATGACTCCTCTCCAGGGCTTGGCACTGACCACTCACCCCCATTCAGTGCCAAGGTTAAGAATGATTAGGAGGTAACACCCTGATGATGGAGGCAGAAAGGGCCTCGGAAACATCGGTAAACTTCAACCAGTCTACACGGCGCAACAGCTCAGAAGACAGCATTCTACAAACTCACCGACGTAAAAACCTTACATCCTTGTTGTTCACTGATTTCTAGAAAAACAGAGGATTTCAATTGTAAAAAGTCCATATATAAGAAAATACGTGGACTGTATAATAAAATATGTGTTTTAAATTTCTGTATAGATTTACATCTGTGTTAGGAGACAGCAATAATGATCTTTCGTTTGTTCCTTGTATGTCCGAATTAATGTCAGGCCTGTCGCTCATTAGTTATATGTTCTTTGGTTTCCGCTTTGTATCATCTGTGCTGTTGAGTGGTACTCGTGTTCAATGCTGATAAGATTAAGGTTAAGGCACACTAAAGAACAAAGCTGCTTTAATTTGAATTTTAGTGTTCTTTATACTCGTTTTGGATAAGAAGGTATGTGAAATAAGATTATTATTTTTTCGTTGTTGTTTGCTAGTCGTATTATTGGTAATAGTTCAGATTTAAGGTTTTGTGAGTTGGTGGCTCCGGTTTTAAAAGAGATGTTTTTAAAAATTGTTTCAGATCGTTTACAATTCTTGGTAATCGAATCAGTTTGGAATTTACATAATGTTCACGCCGTAATAGTTTCTTCATTTAACTTTAATTTGAATCTTTCTACAGTGGTCTATCGGAATAGGTTAAATTTCATATTATGGTATGGGACCACTTCCCATGGCAAAATGGCAAGTCTGTTGTTGTTCCTGTAATTAAAATTCTTTTACTTATTTCTTTCAGTTTTATTCGAGCTCAGTTGAACGCAGTAAAACCTGCTTAAAAATGGACCTGAACTTTAGTATTAGACAGGTTTCTTGTAAAAACACAAACGTGAATAGAATAATAATATTTCACAATACAGTACCATGTATTTATGCACATGGTTATATGCTACATATGTGCATTACACTCTTACTAAGCAGTAGATATTTTTAGTTATTTGTTTTCTCAGCTTTTGTAGTTCATTATAATACAGTAAATAGTATATTTTGCTAGTAGTTAGACTTAATTTTTTCCCATGTGTAATACAATATTTGTTTTAGCCAGATGTTATTAACAAAATTTAATGGACAGAAAACAATAAATTTTTAACCAGAAGAATTGAAGTTCTCGCAGGAGTGAAGATATTGATTGTGGTCTTATGGGTTGTGATGGTGTATGGCCACACAGCGTTACAATTGAGATGATTGTGTTTGCCATTTAAGCAGACGTGTATTTATTAATTTTCGTTCCACTTTTCTTTTTAATGGAAAATGGTTTCTGTTGTTTAGCGGTGATTGTGTATTGGTTTTCATTGTACATCTCAACAAAATGAGGTTTACATTTAATCACTGTTCAGTGTTTGTATTTGTTATCCCAAAAAGGTGTGGCATTTCTGTGTTGCTGTATCTGAGGTGTTACTGTCCATTTGCTGACCGATTTCTTTTCCGTTCAAGGCCATCTAAAATGGAAGAAGAAGACAGGAATAAAATCACCCAGAATTTGGTAGAACTTATTGAACAAACCAATCTGGATTCATTGATACCTGAATTGTTGGAAAGGGGGGTCTTTACCCCTGAAATGATTGAGAAATATGTGGTAAGCTACGATCGGTAGATCTGTTGTTGCAAATCTTCAGATATGTACAGCACTGTGTTGATATTTCAATTGGCACTTTAAGGAAATGGTGTTTTGTTGTGTTGGGATCAATTGCAACTGTGTCTGAGAAGTTGGTAGTCTCCATCTGCATGGTAATGTGACCAAATGCAGTTCTGATTGATATTAGGTCTGAAATTATGTTGTCAGATCCACCAAGCATACCAATCTTTATGGGTCTGGACCCATTACTTTATGGTGGTCCTTGGGTTTCAGCTCAGATGTGAACCTTGTTGAGTCTGCTCTCACTTATGTGCTGTTTGGGAGCTGGTTAAGTCAGGATGTTGACAGCTGTGTGAGGCAGATTGTTTTTCTAGATTTTAGCAAGGTGACGTGAAGAAGCATGAAAACATCCGTCTTGTAACATAGAATTCTGAATATTTTTTATACGAGGTGCGATCGGAAAGTTTCAAGACTGCGCGTATAAAAACCCATACACTTATCTCAGGTATTAAATTCATCCATCACCCTCGAAGTAGTTCCCCTGGGAGTGAACACAACGATCCCAGCGCCGCTGCCAAGCCTGGAAGCATCCCTGGAAATCACGCGCAGTCTGGAAACCTTCCGATCGTACCTCGTATTATTTATTGCAGCCATAAACACAGTTACTTGTTAGTTTTCCTTAATTTATTTTAATTTATTGGAGACTTATTTTGAAATTACAGTGCCATCTTCTAGCGATACTGTATCATAAAAACTAAGGTAGTGTCCCAACCTTATTAATGTATTAAGATAAAATCGAACAGTTTACATTACATATTTATACATTAGTTCAAGTTTTAAGAGTTATTAAATAATCTATTGTGTTATTTTATACTAATGTACTAATTGATTTTGTTAGCACATATTAAAATTAATTGTATCAAGACGACTGTCTTGACAGATATTGTTCCACGTAGTCCGGCAAAAATTAACCAGCATTTCTGAGGTGTTTACCGTCTCCAACATCAGCTATGATGTAGGCAGCAAGTTCCTCTTAAACAGGAATGGCATGCCATATTTTTAGATTTGGTTTTGATTCTGAGGTCTCACGTTCTTGATTTGTGTTGTCTTGGTTTTTCCCAGTCCTGTATAGCAAATAGACGAATAGGAATGTTTATTGAAGTGATATAAAAATTAAATTTGAATCTTTTTATTGTCACAATAGGATAGTAACACCGAACTCAGAAAAAGGAAACGTAAGCTATTCTTGGATCTGCAGACAAGAGGTCCAGAAGCCTTTCAGCATCTTACCGTCTCTCTAATGATAACTGGACATCTAGACTTAGTCCAACGACTGCTGCCAGATGTTGATCTAAGGAATTACTTCACGGAGCGAGGAGGAAGACGTGTGCCTCAAGTTCGGCATGGGTATTGTCTCCATTATTTATTACCGTCTCATTGAAAAACAACTGACTTTATGGAGCCATGAACATGAATCTCCACACACCTTTAAAGAAAGAATTTTCCCAATTCTAGTGTAAAAATATTTTCTGTTACTTAGTTAGCTGGGTATCTGTCGTTAAATAACGTGGCAGCACATCATGCAACACGCGTGCATGATGTAATGGTCTAAATAATTGTATTTGGAAATTGTTGTGAAGTAATTCATGAAGTCTGCGTTGTTTATCAAGGAAGGAATTATGCACATTTATTATGGAAATTGTTTTTTATTTGTACATTTTGAGTTACTGTTAATAGGATATTTTTCAAGACCATATTTTGAAGCACATATTTTAGTAGTAATAACGATTAATATTGTGTGTTTTACATAAAGATAACATGCGGAAAGTGTACCATGCATTATGGATAGAATAGTTTTACCATCACTCACTATATTAATGTAGTTTAGGTTAATCACAACAGGTATCGTACATATACACACACACATTAATTTATACATTTTAATTTTAAATCTAAAAATTTTGTATTGGAATGTGTAATGAAAGAGTATTTATTGTATGTGTGCCTAAATGCGATAGGGGAATTTCTGTTTAGCAACAGCCTACTGTGATATATTTTCAGTGACAGTGAAGGAGTTAGTTCGCGTCTTACACTATTAATTGTGTTTTCTGTAGGCCAAACCTGGCTAACCTTCCAAGATATATGTTTGAAGACATCGCTGATCTCAGCCCAAGGCTTCAAACTTTGGCCCTTCAGAATCCCATGCCTGTTGTAAATTTAAGCAGAGAACCATTAAGGGTTGTAGTGAGGAGAGCTACTGTCAGAAGGGATGTGTGTACTCGTGAAGGGCTGCAGGTAATGATTTTAAAAGTTACTTCCTGTTCGTTAGCCACGCACGTGTTGTACATGTAAATGTCTTACCGTTTACGGTCAGATTTTAAACGCGCACTTAAAAATCGCACTTGGTTGAACTCGTGCTTGATTGCTACAGGTGAAAATAAAAGCTGACATGGCTGCTGTAATGAGGAAAGTTATTTCAATGTTAATTTAAAAGCTTGGAGGAACCATGTTTCTACTAAAAGATAATTGATTGTTTATTACTGTAATAGTTGCACGTTTGAAGCATTCTTTGGTTTTCTTGTACATTTGTTGGTTTCAGCTGCAGCAGAATGTATTTCAGCCTCAACTAATTTAATAGGAGTGCATGGGGAAAGTCATTGTATTATTTTTATTTGAAATGTCTTTATTGCTTTACAGTGCAAGTATCTTTAGTTATTACTATCATTAATATCTTTTTTCAGTACGTATCTTCTAAAAGCAGTTGTTTGCATTGAATTATCCTCATGTACCGGCCAAATTGATGGCAGAAACGTGCAAAATAATTTTTAAACTTTCTCCGCTACCTAACTTGGGTACTGGGGTTAACTGTTTTGTAGTTTGTAACACTGTTCACAACTCGAGACAAAGTAAAACGGCCATACACCTAACCCATGACCCAACTTATTGGTCTTTTAGTCCCTGTTTTTATTTAAATATGGTGCCAAGTTACGCGGCGTGCGATTTTAATCAAGATCTGAGAGTTGTTGTGTAGTGTGAACTATGATGAAATTGAATACTTTTTTCAGGTATATCCGATGATTTCTTACCCACGAGGCTACTTCTTTATGATTAACAATGTTCAGTTTGTGAATGATATTGAAGAAGCAAGAATTGGTTCAGGAGTGGATGAGAAGAATCTTGGTGATTTGTTTAGAGACTTTGGGTATAAGGTGGAGTCGTACCGTGACCAAGGATTAGAGGTAAATGTTTCTGCTCTTACACACAAATTCCAGTGTGTGTTTAACTTTCCTTAGCTTATGGGTTATCTTTGTTTAAGTCCAGTTCTTATGGTACCCAATTATTCTTGTGCAGTTTTGGGATAAAATGTGGTACATCTCTGGAATTGTAATGTGAGTGTGCATTGACGCTTTACACACGAAACACAAGTAAAAGTAGAGGCGTAGGTGCTTACTAAGCACCGCATCTTAAGTAAGTGTGGAATGGAGGTATAGCTCCAGTCAGTCCTGTCCACTCTGCCCTGATGATATAGCTAGCAAGGCCCTCTGAACTGTTCGTAAACTTCAAGGCGCTACATCCTAGAAGATGGGCCATCTTCATATGTCACAATCTCATTGTCCATCCATTTTGAATTCATTTCTGTCAACGGCTAAAACGGATACTTGGAAAATTTAAAAGGAGGTTGGATGGTAATATTGAAACTGAATTTTGGACTGAACTGCATCCATTGGTAGCGTTTGGTGTTGGCAGACGTGTATAATGGGGTTCTGCATGGGATTTGAGGTTCTCATAGTGGTGAAGATGTGCTGTGGTCTTCTGGGGTGTGACACCATCTGGACTTTAGGTGGGTACTTTCAGCCCTGAAGATGGAGACAATATCTACCCCGAAATGTTGGTACCCAGATACAAGTCTACATAGGATCACAACCGAGATGACCGCTATGGATAGTGAGGTTCATTTAGTTTAAAAGTTCATTATTTTATCTCGGTTGGTTTATCGCTTTCTCATAAATAAATAAAAATTTGTACCTACTATTTAAATAAATTGAAGGATAAGTGTGCCTTTCTGGTTTCTTTAGGACATGAGGAGGAAGATCAGTCAGTTTGCTCGAAGAACCGAGCATTCACGTTACGATTCATGTGTCGTGGCAATTATGAGTCATGGGAAAATGGGAATCAGTAAGCAGGATTCGACCATCGTAGCTGCAGATGGCCAACGACTGAAGATCGACTGGGTTCTGGAACAATTCACCAATGAGAATGCTCGCAGTCTTGTGGGAAAACCTAAAATCTTCTTTTTTCAAAGTTGCAGGTTAGGTTCATTGTATTAGTTCTAGGGTTATGAGCGAAGCTTTCACTACAAATTATTGATGCAGGTGAAAAATGTGTGTCAGATGGTTGCTGCAGGGAAGAAGCATCCAGATAAAACAAGAATTGATTTGTATCTTTTTAGTATAAATGTCTGAGAACATTTGAAAACTTTATTTTGTGTCATGTGACCCTACAAGTTAATATTACAGGTAGGCTGTAGTTGTGTGTGATGTTCAACACACCGTTATCTGAAACCGTATTGTTGTTCAGGGGTGATGCATTGGATTTTGGGGTCAAGATGACGTCTGGTCGCATGCAACACGATGGCTCTACCTCAATTGTTCATCGTAGAATGTCTGACATACTTACTGGATATTCGACCCTTCCCGGATTTTCGTCTAATAGGGACATCTACCTCGGGACTTGGTATATTCAAGCAATCTGTGAAATTTTCATGGAGCATGCTTGTGACACAGACATAGAAGACATGCTCAAAATGGTGAGTTCATCATTATTTTGCGGTTTTACTGAATCGACACAGGCTCCATTTCCTCTTGTCCGTAAATTTATAAATATCTTGAAAGTCAAGCAGTTTGGTGATGTAAAAACAATTAAACGCAGCGTTTCAGAGCAGCTGTTGGCGGTTACAAACAATTGAGTTTGAGAGGTGCTTCCGGCAGTACCAGAAACACATTGAATGAGCTTACTTTGAATGATATCAACTCCCATTTATGTATATACAAGTATTTTAGTTTTCACAGATTCTGTATGAATACTATTTGATCAGGTTTTGTAAGCCTTTGTTTTCAGCAGAGTTAAGTCATCCCAACCAGGGTGCCAGAAATATGATTGCCCACTCATTGTAGGTGGTTTTGAAAATATTTGTGTAAAGGATACCATTAATATATAGGGTGAGTGGATTTTTTTGAGTGGCAAAGAGATTTAAGTTGAATTTCTGGAACCCTGTAACCAAACTCACTGTTAACCAATTTGAATTTCTTCATAATTTATCACAGTCAATCCACACCTCTTTTAACATCGTAGAAAAACAATGGCACTCGACTATGAAAAACATCAAAACACTAGTTTAGCTCGGATTAAGTAAATTTTACGTATTTACTCGCTTCTATTTGGTCTGTCTTATAGGTTGATCAGAAGTTGGCCACGCTAATGGCCGAAGACGGTTCGCTGCAGACGTCTTCCTACGAGAACATAGGTTTTCGTAAGTTTTACTTCAATCCCGGACTATTTGATGCTCAATCTGGATTTCCTAATCCGTAGAGAAGTTAGTAAATGTGTATCCTTTGGCTAAAGAATACATTTAGTGCAAAATGTAATTACACACTTAAAAGAACTAAAAATAGAACCGAAATTGGATATAATTTAAAATATAAAACCAGTCGAATAGAACATGGCGAAGAGAAGACTTCCAATGTATTAAAAAATTACAGACCAAATGGATTAAGGGACCAAGAATGACCTTTATGGAGACTTTTGGACAACTGAGGCTCAAACAAGCCAACAGTCGGGCTAATTCCATGACCGATGACAATGAAATTTGACTTATGCATCCTGTTAAGTCTCTTAACTTTGTGGAATTGAAAAATTTCAGATGTTTTGTAGAAATAGTAATGCCTGTTCCTGCATTGACGGATCTAACTACTTAATTTCTCAGTATGGTACGTAGTATTATAAAGTTGATGTGAGATTTATTTTTGGGTCCTGACACCTGGAGAAGTTCGCTGATTGTCGATGTTTAAAAGGACCATAGTTTCTCTATTATCAGGAATAACCATGAAAGCTTAAAATCAATTATTAGTATTATAAACTGGTTTAATGTGAAAACTAGGATAATCTACCTATACAGAACTTAGTTTTTGGTTTACAGATAAGCCTGTGATAACAGATGTGCTATAAAAACAATTGTCTAAGAACAAGTACAGATTAAGGAAACAACTCCAGGTTTTATTTTCTGTTCCTTTGTGTTATTTTTTATGTATTTTTAATGTTAAGTGATTTTACTGTGATATCAATGATTCAAAGAGCACCGAATGAAATTTTATCCATGTCATTGAATTATGTAACTTTTTGAATGAAGGAGCGGCATCCATTCTGTGCCCATGTGGAGGCAGCACTCGGTGCCGCAAAGCACAAGGAACACGGACTGAGTTCGTGTATTGTTTTTACGTGAAACTAAATACATGGCACTGTTATTAGATGTATGAATATATATTTAAGTGATTTTTATGTGTTACGTGTCATAATTTTGTTAGCGTTCTTAATTACAAATTTTTATAATTTGTGCCATTTTTCTAATGTTCAGTGGTTTCCAAAGCGTGTTACATGATGAACTTTTTTAACTTTAAAATGAGTATACATGGAGGCCATCATAAACTGTGTTCTTTCCCCCTTGAAATGTATCTCCGTCGCGAGGTATTCACAGACACTGACCGCAGTCTTTTATTTTGGCAAATATTGCAGTTGCCATGTTCAGGATGTTTGCTGAAATGTAAACCACAAAGAATCAACACGATTCATTCCCAGATGTTAACGTTACATACGCAGATGCCCCACGGGTTATGCAAGACGACTTACGCAAAATTTGATCTGTGAAATGTTCCGTAAGGCACACGATAGGCACTAGGATTAAAATGGAAATGACATTTTGTTGTTGTAAATGTTAATTTTCTGTGCTTTAATTTTATTTACAAAGCTCAAACACGCTTACGCACATATTACAGTAATGATTTTGACTCTCATAAAATTGAGGTTATGTAAGACGTTCTGGAACGGAATGATCGCATAAGTCGGGGAGTGTCTGTATTAAACTTGAGCCAGTAAGCAGGTGCCCACTTTACCCATTGCATAAAACGGCCCCGTGTGGTACGCGAGGTTTTCATGGTCGTGAAAATGTGGATTGCGGTCTTCTGGGTCGTGACATCATGTTGTCATGTTCTCTAAAACATTGGTAACCACTCGTATGTCACAGACCAGAAGTTTTTTTTAAATTCTTACAGTGTCGGTGATACCGATTCCCCTTAAATATTATATGTATGATAACTTTTTGTATTATACAATCTTACATTTATAATGAATCTGTATTTCTGCATCATATAATGCAGTTTTGATAAAGCATATACTGTTTTTATGCAAAGTAAATATTTTAGTAGATTTTTAAATCTGTATTATGCTCTGTAACCTCCGGAACGCTGACCTACAGTGTGGGAAGAATGTTTGGTTGTTAACCCAGTTTATGTGCAAAAACATTTAGAAGGTGTGAGAAGTGGAGTTTAAGCGGTGGGAGTAGAGAGTCACTCGCTCTCCAACTCGCCCAGGCAGAAGATTTGTGTGTGACCCGGGTCAGAAAAGGTTATAAAATTTTGGTCCACGCAGAGCACCAAATGGAGTCGTTTGTTGTTGATGAAGGGATCTTGTATGTGGAATGAACTGTACAAATAATAAATTTGATAATATTTTATACATTTTTAAGTGCAACTGTTCTGACTTATTGTATGTAAAATTATGCGGTGTTCAGTTATATCTGCTGTATATAAATTGATAAAAGAAACAAATGTATCATGACATTTTATTATAAAGTCTGTCGTGCAAGTCTTTTATGTGGCCGAGTGCTAGTTTGATTTTGAAAATGCCTGTGGTTAAAACTTTGATCATATATTTCCTTCTCCATTTCTTTTCAGTTTAAATTTCTTCACATGTTTTGGATTTTGAATTTTTGATTCTTTGCATCGTAGGAAAACTACATCACCACTAGGGTCATTATGAAATAACAAAGAGTAAGGAATTTTTATCTTCATCAGTATATCCAAAAGGATTTTATAATGGGCATAGTACGGACATCTGCCAGAGTTTGTAAGTGAAGAATTCGTGGTGCATTTACCATTGCAACCACTGTTCCCTCATGACATGGTGCTTAAATACAGAGAAATTTAGCGGTTATGTTGGGGTAAAAACACTTGAATGATAATCCTCGTATGTGTGCTATTTTATTTTAATGCCCTCAGTCACTTTAGACCGATTTCAATATCGCCTGCTTTAATGCGAATTTTATTTGGAAGATGGAGTGAGGCGTAGAGCAGAGGAATGCTAGGGAGAAGGGAATTTTATTTTTGCTATTTAACTTGAGCTATTTCATTCTCTTTTCTTTGGAACACAAACATCGCACAAATCGGGGAGTGCCTGTACTTTGTAATTGAACTATTTCTTATTGCAATATACGTGTTATCCCACATTAAGCCTACTGACCTCTAAACCTACATATATTACATTCTGCCTTTGGTTTCATTATTCTCTTTCTTCTGTTCTGTCTCCAAGTTAGGAAATTCCCACGTACAAGAGAACAAAACCACAGAAATCCGTTGACCTAATAGACTGTTGTAGGGATACATAATCTGTGAAAGTTGCTGGCCTTCCAGCAGTTGGCACTATAACCTCACAGAGAGTAAGACGTCATTCTAGAAACAGCCGTCGCAATGACGAGTATTAAGTGTGTGAAATTGTTTGCGTATTTGTTGGTATGTTTAGGAATAGTGAATGGAAATGGGTTAGGTGTAGTGTTTGAGTGGAAAGAGTTAGACTTTGCCTATCCAAATTCAAGTGCTCGTCAAGCTGCACTTGAAAGTAAGTCTTTTATTCCAAGTAACAATGTTCCTGTAGGATTGGAAGTTTGGAAGAATAAACTGTTTATAACAGTACCAAGATGGAAACCCGGCGTCCCAGCCTCTCTATCTTATGTCGACTTGAATCAAGCTGGTAAGAAAATGGTTCTTTATGACATCTTTTCCTTTTTTATTCTCACGTTTAGACGTATTACAGCATTGTTTACTGACAAATACTTATAACGAAGTTGAGAAAGGCCTATTTTTGCTGGTATTGCATTAATAATTTTATAATTTATAAAACATTTTGAATCTGTGATAGGTTAGATTCTAATGGGTCATTTGTTGTCGATACATTATGTTTTTGTTGGATGTACAAACAAGTTTGCAAGAACTGACGTGTTGGGATGCAAGATGGGCTCAAGTACGTGATTTCAGTGTTACGAAATGTTTCGACTTAATTGCTTACGTCCCTGTAAGTTTTTGAACTTTTTTCGATTCAGGAAAAACAAAACAAGAAAGCATCTGAGTAATGTTGCGGTTTGATTAAGCAACATTTAAGCAAACATGCTATTCTGTTTACATTCCGAGGGGACGAGAAGCCAAAAGGCCTGAGAAAACATTTTGTAAACACAACTTGCTTTCAGTAAGAGCTTTTAATGCCCAACAAAATACTCCATGTCTCAAAACATTTAGGATTTTCTGTGCATTCCGCGTATCGACGTAAGTAAAAAAAAAAAAGCTCCTACGCAATTTTAAGTTGGAGCTCCACTTTGGTATACCAGTAATATTATGTACATGTATTTGGAAGATGTTCGGTTTAAATATCGCTCGAATGATCGCTTTCTTGGGTTCCCTTAGTTTTTCTAGCCGAATTCCAGCACAAAGGCGTGGCACATACCTCTGTTGCCTCCTTCCAAATCTGTACCATCTCATTATTCATTAACATAATTTATTTTATAGACTAACAATCAGTCCAGACATTTCAGATATATATAAGGCTAAGGCAGAGGTTCCCAAAGTGTGGGGCGCGCCCCCCTGGGGGGGTGTTTGTAGTCTGAAGAACTTTTTTTAACGAAATATGGAGAAACATTTTTAATATCCTTTGCTTGGTTGAGGCACTTTAGTTGTCTTAAAGTGCTGTATACTCGTAGCTAAATTTTATGTCAAATCTGTTTGCTTGCACTTGTTCTGGAAAGGGAGGCATGAAATTTATGAAATGTTTTAAGAGGGGTGCAAGCTATAAAAGTTTGGGAACCTCTGGGCTAAGGTGAGGTCATGGAGAGGGAGCCAATAATCTCTACTGTTTCTTGAACACCGGCCATCCAGGAAATGATTTTACGGACGTGGGCCACTATCGTTATTAATATTACATTTTAATTTAAACCTCCTTATGAATTGCTAACTTCATGTGTTTTATGTGGAGAGAAATGTTACTTAATGGAAGATAACGTGGATAGTAGATTTTATCACCAGAAATGATATTAGCCAGAAGAATATGCGTGTAACAGGCATCCATATGTTGGTATAAAAATATTTTTCTGTGACGCGTCGATATGTTCTTGTTACGTAGTATTTATTTCAAACTCCGCCTAGAATGTTGTTCAAGATTCCAAGTCCATAACAGTGTCTGTTTTTTTTTACTGTCGTGATACAGGTTTTTCAAAAGTTTATGTTAATTAAAAAACAAAAAAAGAGTTGGATTTACATTTATTTACAAAAAAGGTATTGAACTCAGTACCTCTTCTCATCTGACGTCATGTCAATAGTAAAAAAAAGGGTTTGGCTAATCAATGCTACCAACCTCGACAAAAAATAACCATGTTGCAAATGTCTGCAGTTTGACTTGCAACTATATTATTTACTGTCTCGAGACTTTGTAAGCATTCTGTATGATGAACATCATTCTTTGAAGCCGTCGATGTTGGAACACCGTTCGTATTTCCGACTATGTGTTTGCTTTGCAGGCAGGACTTCGCCACAGCTAAAACCTTACCCAGATTGGTCGACTCATGATGTCAACTCAGTCGCCTCGCGCGTTATAGATCGGAGAAACATTACTCACATAGTTTCGCCTTTCCGAATCAGGGCTGATTCATGCGACAGATTATGGGTTCTCGACACTGGGAAATCAGACATCCTGGGCAGCGAAGAAAAGATCGGCCCGAACCAGCTCCTGGTTTACAACCTGGAAAACGACGAACTGGTTCGACGTTACGAAATCCCCAAAAAATTCACAAAGGACGAATCCTTCTTTGCCAATATTGCTGTAGATGTGAGGAACAAGGACTGTGAGGACACTTTCGCGTACATGGCCGATCTCGGAGCTTCAAGCATGGTCGTGTACAGCTTGAAGAAGAATGAATCGTGGAGGGTAACACACAAATATTTTTACAACGACCCAAAGGCTGGAAAATACCACGTGGCTGGAGTAAGCTTTGAGTGGACTGATGGACTGTTCGGACTAGCTCTCTCAGCCGAGGACAGCGAAGACAGATACAGGACTATGTACTTCCATCCATTCTCGAGTTTTAGCGAATTCGCCGTCTCTACCAGAATCCTTCAGAATCAGACGCTGTGGACAGACCCTGCTCTGGCCGGTGCCAGCGACAAGAACTTCATGCTCCTGGGCGAACGAGAAAACAATACTCAGTCATGTGCATCTTTCTTTGACGAGAAGACGGGGATCCTTCTGTATACTCAGGTACGGTTCATAGAGGACACATTTATACCACCCGAGAAATATGATTTTCTTGTCTGTTTACACAAAACGTACAGAATGTATAGTCCGCGACTGTAATCTTCGGACTTCCTGCATTCCTTGCAAGTCTCAAGATTACAGTCGCATACTGTAGGTTGTTTATAATTTTGTAGGGGCGGGACACGGTGGTCTAGCGGTTATAATGGCAAACACCTTCTGGATCATCTGCCAAGAACGTATATGAACAGGTCCCAGTCCGAGAAAAGGATGGAAGGATCCTGTTCATATGGACCTGTCGTCAGACAGAACACTAAATACAAAAAATAAATAGGGGCGGGAGGGGTTGGTATCCTTATTCACGTTTCGTCTCTGAAGCCACTTAGAATATTTCTATGACTTTTGATATAGACTAGTTTACAAGTGGCAGCCCACTTAAAATAGTGAGGTAAATATGGGTATAGGTATGTTGACAATAGGGCGTGAACGGTCTTGTGGTTGCGTCGGATGGCATGACGAGGTTTTTGATGAACGTGTTTGTAATTCAGCCTTTACGATACCCCAAAACACTAACAATCTTCAACATATACATCAGATTCTTTGTCAACAGCGGGTGATGTGTTTTTTTGAAAAAAATACCGCGTTTTGCGAAATCAAGGCCTTATGAGAAACAGGGGGTTAGGCGAACCTCTGCTGGTGTTAACACTTATTAAAAGCTAACTAACTAAATTTATTGGTCGTTTACCAAACTCTGAAAGTGTTCTATGGTTGTTTTGGTTTCCTTCAGCCCCCCCCGCCAAAGTTACTCTCGAGATGCGAAGTTAATTATTTTTCCGTGTATCCACAATTTGAAACCGCGGAAACCAAACACAGCAGTTAGAAAGGATGACTACAAACGGAAACTCGCGGTTGGCGATGGATTACAGCTCGTCGTATTTTTCCATTCAGTGGTCTGCCAGTGTTTCCGTCTGGTTCTTAAGCTGTCGTAACCGGTGTTTATAGTGCAAGAAGCGATCTATGTCCAACCCACGTTCATTTTCCATGTCTTGATATCTAATTGGCTTAGAGGGATGAATGGAATGTAAGGGAATGGAATTTAAATAGACGTCCGCTCGGGTCCTTTTATGCTCGCAGAATTAATTAAGTAAACAGCACAATTTTCGGCTTGCTCCGAATTTTCGTCCCATAAATACAACATAAAATTAACGGAAATGAAATTTAGTAGTGTTTTTTGAAAATTCTGTGTGTCGGCCATAATTCTGACTTTTCCAACAATTTTTAACCAAGAAGATCTGTCCCTCTCCCACGAGAGACGAGTTAGTCGCTGAATTTTGGTATTCTGGGTTCTGACATGTTACATACTCAGATTATTGTAGTTACCAACGTTTAGGCGAACCCGACGTCTTTGTTTTCAGTGTAGGAAATTCGCACATATATGATGTTATAGCCCAGAAGACCACAGCGACGTGATCATATCGACTCTCACGAAAGAAAAGACATTTGTACTCGGCGCTCATCAGAACCTGAAATGAGTCATAAAACATTTCTAAACACGGTTTTCAATGGAAGGTAACCAAACGTTACGTTTCGATGTGACCTGTATAAGGCACATAATTACGTCGAAGTGTCCTCTGAGTGTCTAGAGTTCGATTCCAGAGACTTATAAACACGAACATTATTTATTAGATTTATTCTTTCAGCAGTTTGGTAAGGTCATACTAGGACTGTAAGATACCTACGTCTCTCATTTTTCATCTTGAAAACATTTTATAACCTTCCTGAGTTAAATTTAGGATATTCGGAGGAATGTATCGTCTTCATCTTCAGAATAGAAGCGAAGTGGTATCTTACTCTGAAACTACCTAAAAGGCCACATCGCGTCACGTGATACTGAGAATATAACAGTCTACATGTTCATCGCCCTGATAACCTCAAATCTCTGTGATGGTTGCCATCTGTACGTGAGCCACTGTTGCAGGTTACTCGGAATGCTATCGGATGCTGGAATTCCGGCCAGAAGTATACTCCGATGACGCAAGGCCAAGTCGCAGCCAACAACGTGACCATGGTTTTCCCTAATGACATCAAGGTGGACTCGCAGAGGAACGTGTGGGTTCTTACCGACCGGATGCCACTCTTCATGTTCAAGGGCCTCGACCGCTCTGACGTGAACTTCCGGGTCCTGTCAGCGCCCATAGATCGAGCCGTGGCCGACACTGTCTGCATGAGAAGCTCTGCGGTAGTTCTGTCACCACTAGGGTTCATTTTCGTGATATCGGTGATTCACAGGCAATTTGCTTGATGTCAGATGTCCTGGTTATTCTGATATCATGGTCTTAAACAGTTCCTGCAGGAAAATGTTATAAACGCACCTTCAGATATGTGATATTATCATCTAGTGGTCAGCGACCATGCTCATATCCCGGAGGTCTCGGTTCGAATAATGGCTTGTAAACCCAGTATTATAAGGGAGGTTTTTCATGCCAACTACTAACTGGCCATGGTCCTACCGTGTCCTTTCAAATTTATCATTCAATGTCATCGGAGCTTCGCAGCAGATTTGGACTCTGATCTTACGAATTGTAAAACTGTGTGGTCTAGTAGGTTGTTATCAATGTTTCAGATGAAAGTACTTGTGCTATTATATTTTAACATTACGTGATATCGTAACCCGGAACAACACTCTAATGTTTTATCGCGACGAGAACATAAAATGTCACGAAATATATATATGGTTTTAAAATGACTGAAAATTTGTGCCAAGATTGCAGATATTTGAAGCTGCACAGAAAATTAATGTGCCAGCTCAAGTCCTCTGTCAGGCTTTTTGGAGTAAGAACCAAGGATTCTGCTGTGGAAGCAAAGAGCTCTCTTCATAAATGCACTCGTAGAAAACAGGAGGTGAAAGAAATAATTTTGAAATTTCACTTGCGTCTTATTCACGTGTCTTTCAGACCACATTTGTTTTGGTTATATGAATTGTAAAAATTGTAATATAATTTTTGATCAATTATCCCGTTGTGTTTAGCCTAGAGAAAATCATTTGAGAACTAGATGTCTCATTCAATTCCAGTCCGTCCACAATTTCTTCGACGTTCCAATTGGTGTATAAAAAGCAATGAGAGTACATACGTACACATGCATTTTGAACACAAGAATCATATTTGCATAAATGTCAGTGTGGAGATGTCTACTGATGAAGGTATTCTGTTTGTATGCTCCCTGTCTCGGTGGCAAACGTTCTTTGAGGCACACTGTCCTGAAGGACCCGGTTTCTGCAGGACCAGGCCTCTGCCGGATTCGATCTCTGAGGGACCCGGTCCCTGCCGGTCCTGGTGTCTGGTGCAACTACTCTCAAAATTCGAAGAAAAAAAATTGGGTTAGGAAAACTGAAGAAAATTTTCAAAATTTTTCGGAAAATAAAAAATGCTGCTAATTGTATAAAATGCCCCAAAACCAAAAATGTCGGAAATAATTCAAAAAAATTTGAAGTTGAAATTTTCAAATTTTTTTGAGTAAGACACTAAACTAACCCCCGTGTATAAACAAATATAAGGTGATATTGTTGATGACGTCATTTTTTGACGACAACGATGGCTAATCCTTTCGGAGCGCTTCCTGTAATCTGATATCTTACTTCTTTACGTCGCTGATCATAGGCCAACAGTTCTTGGTTAGTCAACTATCTACTTCCAACCCCGCCCTTCCAAATCTTCGTCTGTTTTTCTACGTGTGTTGTTAATATGGCCTCGTTTAATAATGTAAGTCTTCTTTCGCTTTTCTTTATTTCTTAAATATGTCTGATGTTGTAGTTCTTTACGTCGCTGTTCAGAGGTCAACTGTTCTTGGTCAGTTAACTTTCTACGTCCAGCTCCACCCCTGCAAATGTTCGTCTTAAAATCGATCATAAAGTCAGTTTTCATAATAGTTTTCGTAATCGTAATATATCGAATGCGTATCAGTTTACCTTGTTGAAGATTTTTAGTTGGTACTTCAAATACTTGATAACGTCTTCTTTCACTTTTCTGATGTTTTAGGCCAGATATCAGTCAATATTCAAGAATGCGAAGTGCTCCTCCTGGAGCAGTGATAATGCGACTGGCTTGATATTTTTTGATTTCTTTGTTGTGAAGCGTTATTTGTTTACTCAGCATTGTTGTGTTCCACAACAATGCCGAGTAAACAAATATCTGTTGGCATTGTTGATGACGTCATTTTTTGACAACAAATTGGTTGATGACGAAATCAGAAATTTTTATAGTAGATGTTAGTTTTGTGCGCTTTTTGGACTTTTTCCCCAGTATATTTAGATTTTTTGAAAATTTAAAAAAATTCAGATTCCCTTTAGAAGACTGAGTCCTACAGAAATCGGTCGAAGCCGAGGAAGTGTCTGGGGGAGACTGGGTGTTGTAGAGACTGAGACCGGAAAAGAAAAGAAGCAGAATACGTGTGATCCAGAGATCGTGTCTAGCAGTCTGTGTCGAAGCAGGTCTATGCAGAGACGGCCTGGCAGAGATCGGTAAATAGAGAGAACAATTCGTCCAGAGTTCGTCCCCGACAGAAAACGTGTCCTTCAGAGACAGGGTGCGGCAACGACCGAGTCATACAGACGCTGGTTCTATCAGCGATCGTGTGGGGAGAATTTTGGAAATAATTTTCGGACCTCAAATTTTTTCTAAAATTTAGAAAATTTTCAGTTATTTTCGCTTTTCACGACATTTGTAGCAAATTTTAATTTTTTTTAAAAATTTCAAAAATTTTCGAAAATCAAAAAATGCTGGAAATTGTCTCAAACGCGCACAAAACTAAAAAAAATGAAAAAAATTACCTTCAATTTTCTTTCATAAATTTTCTAAAATTTTACATTTTGTGCGCTTTTTAGACAGTTTCCAGCATTTTTCGATTTTTTGAAAATTTTGAAAGGAATTTCAAATTCTCCCCACCCGACCTTCACGAGAACGGGACTCTGGTAGACACGTTCGACGCCACACACGATTTCTGCTAGACCCAGTGTCTGCCACACCAAGTCTACACGAATAGGTGTCTGCATCACACGTTCTGCCTCAACGGCTCTCTGCCGGACACGGCCCGGCTTCAACTGGTCTCTGCTTGACTGGGTCTGAGCCTCAATCGTCTCTGCTATGCCTAAAGCCGTTCAAAATATAATAATAATAGTAATAAATATAATATATGAAAAAACGCGGCAATGACAGAGAGAGAGAGAGGGACAAAAAAGCCCACGTTTGTACAGCAGAAAAATGGCAAGGGTTAAAAAAAGCTTAAGTGCACTGAGAAAAAATTCTTCCATTAGCCAATAAAAAAGCAAAGGGGAAAAAATACGACGAGCGCACTGGACTTAGAAAATTTCTTCGATAGACACCAAAGAAGTAAGCCTTGCCAACAAACAAACAACCAAAATCACCATCATCATCATCTGCAGGATTTACGCACGAAGTATAAAAGTTCCTCCACGCAACTCAAACACCAAATGCCGAACTTAGAAAATGTATTCGACACGACCATCCTAGGATTCACCCACAGATTTCCTACCCAGATCCAGCAGAATCCCCCACCAAGGATTTGCAACAGAATTTCTCACGATCCCAACCCAGGATTCCAGCAGTATCCCCACCGAGTATTCTCCCAGGACACCCGACCTAGGATTCCCAAGATATTTCCCTGGATTAACCACATAATATTATCCATGATACCGCAGGATTCCCTAGTACCCCCGCCCAAGATTCCCGACAAGGATTCCCTACCTAGGATTCCCCACCAAAAATCCCCCATATTATCCGCAGACAAGATTTCCGAAGTATTCTCACACAGGATTCTCCAGTTATCCCTCCATGATCCAAGTATGCCATCAAAGATTCCCCACATGTTCCCACCCAACATTACCCCTGGCCCTACAGTATTCCCCCCTACACAAGATTCCCCATGATCCTGTAGTATCATTCCCACAATGACCCTCATCTCATCGCCCAGGATTTCCCATTGCAGGATCCACCATAAGGATTCCGCAACTCACGATCCCCCACAGTGTCTCTGCCCAGGACTCCCTATAGCAGGATCCAGAAGAAGATTCCCCATAAGGATTCCCCAACTAGGATTCAAAACACGGATAGCGTCCAAGGATCACAGCAGGAAGACCCACCCCGGGGAGAGACCCGCCCCGGGGGAAACCGCACCACGGGAAACCCAAAAAAGTCCCCGCGAAGGAAGGTGGAGGCCCAGGCCGTTCCTTGAGCGAGCAGAGGCGCGGACGCTGCTCCGGACAATGGCCCGGGCGCCTGGTGGCGGGTTCCAACGAACCGCCCGAGTCGGACGAGTCCAACTCGTTGGCTTTGCGCTCGCACGCT